AAGTAAAATAAAATAAATTTAAATACCAAAATAAAATTAAAATAATAATTCCATAGTAGTAATTATTTTTACAAAAATAAGGTGCATTTTATCAGAAATATTAATTATAAAATACTTAAAATTAAAACCCTTGATAATTCATAAAAAAAAAAAAACAGGAAACTGATGTGTTATGCTAATATTATAACATTAACAAAATAAAATATTTACTTATAGTAAAATTAATAATATTAAAAAAGTTATATCTTTTTAGCTTAAATTTAAACAATTATAAAAATATAGTCGTACCTTGTAATAGTCATAACAACCAAGTGAAAATGGACAAAAATTAAAAACAATTTGGATATGATAGAATTCTAAACTACGCTTTAGCCAATTTTAACACATGTTCAATAACTTCTTCAATTGTTTGGTTGCTGAGTAGTGTTTGAATAGCTGAATCATCAATGATAATTGAAAATAATTGCTTTGAATTATCCCTAAGTCTGGCCATATATGAAGCATTTTCAGCAGCTACAGGAGTGTGACCACATCTCCTAAAATAAAATCATTATAAATATAAACATGCTGTTAAACAAATAACTAGGTAGTTAAGCTTATTTATTTTACCAAACTAACTTTTAGAGGTGTAATTTTAAAAATTATACTAACAAGAAAATAACATTATATTTATCAATGAAGAAAAATAATATTTATAAAAGTAGTGCATAAATAGATAACATTCATATAACTAAATTATACCTCTAAGAATTTCAAATGTTAACTTAAAGTGTATGAGAAAACTTGACATACCTTATCACAGATTCAATTAAATGATCAACTGTTGTTCCTGGCCAACCAAACTCTTTAAGTGTACTTTCATCTACTAATACAGTAAGTAATTCCATCAGTGATTCTGCCAAAGTGTTGTTTTGATTAGATTCTTCACTTGTGATTGACCCATTATCCTCTAACTCATCAATACTTTCATCATCGTCATCTCTATTATTGTCAATTACACCAGTAATGTTTTGGTTATCAATATCTTTTTTGGCTACTCCTAAAAGCTGAGCTTCCAATTTTTTCTTCTCGGCATCAGCCATTATTTCAGCCAACATATCTCTATGTTTAGAGCGCATATGACGTAACAAACAATCTTGACGAATAAATGCACGGCCACATTCATCACATGCTCGTGGCGGCTCTTTTGTATGTGTTAATAAGTGAATTTTTAACGAAGATTTCATTGCAAACCGTTTTTCACAAATGGGACATGCATGAGCTTTGACACCAGAATGAACAATATGATGTCTCTGTACATCTTCTTTTCGCAACAAAGCTTTGTTGCATACAGTACACATAAATGGTTCTGCTCCTTCATGTACATATCTAGTATGCAAAGTTAATCGAGAACGACGATTGAAGGATTTGCCACAAATCTCACATGTAAAACCATTTTCACCTAAAATTTTTTTAAATAATTTTAGTTTAAAAATTCAATAATAAGTTTATACTTTATGTACCTGTATGATGGAATAAATGAGCACGCAATTGTGAAATTTGTATAAAGGTTTTACCACAGAATTCACATGAATGTGGTTTAAGAGCAGTATGTGTTTTAATATGACGATTTAAAGTTTCTTTAGCCGCAAATTTAGCAAAACACTAAAACAATTTTAAAATTAGAATAATACTACATGTAAAATAATTAAATACTTACTTGTTGACATTCATAAGGACGTTCACCAGTATGAATTCTACGATGTTTTTTCATGGCTCCACTGGATGGAAAACGTTTAGGGCATAAATCACATTGATATGGTCTATAACCTATAAATGAAATAAAATAATCATTTTAATCAAAAATCATGAAATACATGTTTATTTATCACACACTACATTTTAATAAACATTTACCTTTAATTGTAATCCTACAGTATTGATGTTAGCATAAACATATACAGAAAATAAGAATTGTAGATAAAAATATAAAGAGTTATAAAAAGGTTTAAATTTACCTAAATGACTTCTTCTATGAACCGTCAATAAAGCAGACCCAACAAATTCCTTATTACAATATTCGCAATTATAAGTACGCTTCTTTTTAGTTTGGCCAGCATGAGCACGTAAATGTTCTCTTAAATTATCTTTTCGGTTGAAAACTTTTCCACAAACCTTGAATCAATTTATTATAAGTTAAATTATTTACAATTCATAAATAAATTAAATTTACTTGACATGGAAATTTGGGTTTTTCTGAACCATCGCAACCAGTTTGCATGTTATGACGTACAAGATGATATTTCCTACTAAATGATGTGAAGCAAACGGGACATGAATAAGGTTTTAAAGTTCCTAAAAACAATTAATACATTTTAAATGAATTAATTTAAAATAAAAAAATAAGTAATTATTTACCTGCATGAGAATACAAATGTTGAGATAATGTTTCTTTGTCAGTACAACTGAAGTCGCAAGTGGGACAGTTTAAAACGTCATCATAACAATGTACCATTAACTGATGGCGCTCCATATTAGCTTTTAATTTGAAAAAGTTTCCACAATCATAACATTCAAAATCACCAATCTGAAACATAGTTGTTTTTACAATCATTTAAAACAATCATTATTAAGCTTTACAAACCGTATGAGCAGTAGCTAAATCTTCACCACAACAGTCACAGCTATTCATTTCTTTTTTTACTGAATCATCATTTACAACTAAAATTATGAAAACAAATATTACTAAAATAACTAATATAATATTGAAATAATAAATATTTTTAAATTACCTTTGGTTTCTTGAGGTTTGCGATCGTGTGATGTTTTATGTCTTTTTAAACCGGGAAGGGTTTTAAATGTTCGAGGACATATGTCACAAGCATGTTCCAGTGATTCAGGTTCAGGGACTACTTCTGGTTTTACTGTAAACATAATACAAACATTAATGAACACAATTATTTAAATTATTTAATTAAGTACGAGATTTTTTTGAAATTACTTATGCCAGGACCATCTTCCTTTTCTACATCGAAGTCATACACATCTTCATTATTGTTAATATTTTTTTTATTTTTGACAACTTCATAATCAGCCACACCATTTGGTATGTATTCATAATCTCCAATATCTTCATCATCCATTTCTTGTAATATTGCTTCTAAATCTTCAGGTTCTGGGCTGTGTTTTTCCATTTTAACTGTTCGTGGACGACCACGTTTTCTCGGCGGTGTTTCCATATTTTGGCTAGCTTTAAAAAAAAAAAAAAAAAAGTAAATATTTAAATTATTAAGCCATAACTAATTAAACTGGTTTAAAATAACAAAGAATAGATATGTTCCAATATATAAAAAATTTAAGTAAAAAAGGTATAAATAATATTGGTTAAAAAAATAAAATACTTTTATATAATTTATTATTAAAAGGCTTACACAAAACTTTTTCAATAAAAAAAAAAAAACTAATTACTGTTTAAATCCATGTAATGAGAAACTCAATAAAATTAGTATTAAATGTATATCTAGTGCATTATATTCGTTTTTAGAAGTGTAAGACACAAATTGTATATTTAATAATGCTTATTAAGAATAAGTAAAAAAATAATTTATAATAAATAAAAAAATAGTTTCCCTTATAGGATTTCTTAAAACGGACTACGACGCCTAAAAATATTATGTCCACTTGTTAACTCGTTACCTACCTACCGCGCCCAAATTATTGAAGGCACTCAAGTCAAAAACAAAAAAAACATTAAAGAGTTAAATCAAAAAATACTGAAAATAATCGAATCACGGTATACCTACGCGAAATGTAAAACCGGATTCGAAAACTATATTAATGCAAATTTTTGGTAGGCAATAACGATTTTTTAATTTTTTCACGGTATATTAAAACGCAACATATCAGACACGGGTGCCTTGGACCGTGTCACGTCATCGGCAGCGACGTACGTTGCCTATACGATAGGCCTAAAAAAAAAAATTACGTTGACGAGTTCGTGCGTAAGTGCGTGTACGCCTAATTGCATACACACACACGTAAATCAACAACGTTAACCGATACGGATGTCGTAATGTACGGTACGTGAATTTACGATCACCTACAATACTGAAAATGGACTCGAAAAGACTCACCTATTGCGTCGTGTCGTTGGTGCTAAATGGCTGCTGCGTTCAGAAAATTGTCCAACGCACACCAGAACGGAAATGGAAACAAATTTCCAGACGGCTTGTCGGCGGCGCACACTGTTGCGCGAGCGGCGAGCCCCTTAAACGGCGTACAATCGTCAACACAGGCGTCACACGAGAGCAAAATGGCGCACTGAACAAAAGGTGCCAGGCGCAAATGGCAGATGCGGCAACGTAACGCTTGGACGTGCGCTCGGCGCTAAATTACCGTGCTCGGCCCGGTAAATATTGTGCGCGTGACATCCGTAATCGCTCATTTACCGCATCAGCTACAGGCTGTCCTCGTCACCGATGGTCTAGTAAACTGGAAAACTAAAACGTAGACTATTATGCCTACAGTCCTTTAGTCTATGCTTTATGGTCTAGTCTAAACGAGTTGCGTCTTACAAGTTATTGCTTACTTGTAACAGTACTTTCTATTATTTATTATGTTGCTGTCCTTCACTGACTTCATTCGGTCGGCAGCACTCGCTTCTCATCCTCCACAATGACACAGTTCACACTTGCATAGATATAAATGTATATTTATAAATATTATTCATTATACATTTTTTATATTGTATAATGTATTCATTACAATAATTAAATATTATATTTTTTTATTATCTATGTTAGCAGTGTGATTGCTGTAGAATAAAAATAACTGGCAACACTTTGCGGTCAATTTAGCGCGATGCGCTCCTTTTGTTTTTGATAACAATCATATCTTATCATAACCACTGACCGGTTTAAAATTATTGTTAAATAATGATAACAATATAAAAATATTATAATAATCGTTGATTATTATTTATTTAATTATTTTATTTTTATAAGTTACAAGTTACAGTAAATTAGATTTTACTATTTAGTACATTCTCAATATTTTTAATAACATGAATCATACGCTATTAATGTTTAAACGATAAGGATACAATTGGATTGAAGTCATATTCCCCTATTATATATATATATATAGACGTATGTATTAAATATTATCACGTGCGTCAAAAGTTCGTTGATGTTGTGTTAAAGTGTAAAAAGGACTATCTTTAATAAATTATTATTCGCTGTTGTTTTTTATTCAATTCGTGTACCGTTCACTAAAGGTTTGTAATTATTGTCTTATTTACTTTTATATTTTTATTACATGTTAAATATATATGCACAAATTCCTATAAAATTATTACAAAATTAATGTTATATTAAGCAATAAGTTTATTATGTTTTAAATGCATTTAAATTCTTAATTTTCTACATTATCACTGTTTTTTATTTTAGAATCATGAATACTTTTGAGATTACCCAGTCAATGAACTGGTATAAATCTAATATCATGACTATGGATGATTCTGGAAACTTAATTGCTTATGGTTCAAGATCTATTGTTGTATTAGTTAATGGTTTGGATGGTAACAGTGTATATGATTTACAATATAATCGTCTCAGACTTAATACAAAAATGGGTTGTGGTCGTATTGGAGCAGTATCATTTTCTCCTAAAACAGATTATTTTGAAAATGCTCATTATTTGGCTTGTATAGATGAAGTTAATATTTACATTTGGAAAGTAAAAAGTATGGTCTGTGATCTCATACATTCATTTGGGGTAAGTTGTTTTTTTCTTTGATTTAAAATTTAATTAACTTGCTATAATTATATTTTATTGTTAATCAATATAGTTAAATTATTTTAAATTTAGACTGCAGTAAAGAATATTTAGGTAGTTAAATTTTGAATTTTTAGTCATAATAATTTTTACTTTTCTACAGAATAATCACATTTAAAAAACTGTATTTCCATATTGCATATCATGTAATTGAAATATCTTTTTAAAACAATAATATTTTGTTTTATTTTGACTTAAAATTAAATTTCTACAAATACTTCAATGAAAAACATTTGGAATTATTATATAATTAATGCTAGTTTCAGTAAATAACGATTATGTTTTAGTTTTGAAATTATGTTGCAGCTTCATACAAGTGTATATATTGTTTAAAACATAAAAAAAAATTTAAGTATAATTGATTGAATTTAATATTTGTTTAGGTATAATTTGTTTATATTATTATTTTCAAACAAATTTATTTTGCCACTTCATATAATATTTAATTTATTGCTTTTTTCTTGTTTAGAATAAAAAAAATAAGAACATAACTCTACTGGATGTTACATGGTTGTATGGATGCTTAACCGTTGTAGCGCTATCAGATGCTGGAACTTTACATAAGTGGGATATTCAAGCATTAACAATGCGTAATTATACGTTAGATGTTAAAGCTACACCTTTGACATTAGCTGCTTGTCCACATAAAAAGAATTTAATTGCTATAGGATGTAAAAATGGTCATCTATTTGTCTATGACCTAACTGGTACGATTAAATTATTCTAAAAATATTTAGAAATTTAAAGTTTACATTTTTTAGGTGATGGCCAATTATTACATAAATTGCATTACCATGAACGAAATATAAATTCATTGGCTTGGTGTCCAGTTCCTTATAGTCCATTTAGTTCTGATCAATCTACTGAACCTTTATTACTAGCATCAATAGCCTGTGATAGAACTGGTTTATGTATAAGTCGTGCTGGTTTAGATATGTTTAATGAAACTACAGTAGCGTTACCTATGAGACCACTGAGAAAAACTGCTTTCAAGTATACATTTTACTTTACTAAAATTTCCCTTTCTAATTGTTTTTTCTTTACTGCTGTTTTTATATGCATATTTAAATTTATGCAATATGCTTTTTATGTATTAATCATAATTACACTGTGAACATTAAATATATTTTCAGAAACAAAAATAATTTAATTTGGAGTTGTGTTAAATGGATAAAACCAACAATTCTTATTGTTACATCTGGTTTTGGAGAAATTCTTAAAGTAGAAATTAAACCAGATATGATATCTGAGCCAATAGTGACTTTGATGAGTGATACCCACAAGGATATAATTTTTTCTATAGCATGTCCTCGGTACATAATATAATATTAAAATATAAATAGTTTTATTTGTGCAATCAATGATATATTTTGTGAATTAGGGAATCAACTAAACCATATTTATGGTCATCATGTATGGGTAGGAAATTGATTCGAACTCGCTTACTTAATACTAGAGAAGAGACTGCTGAATTACCATTGGAAGTACCAACACTTGGTGGTTTTGTTTATTGCTTTGCACTTTCTCCAGTTAATTCAGCTGAGTAAGTATAAAAAAAAAAAAAACATATTGTTTATAATATTTTATAACATAGCTTAATATATTTTTTACTTATAATTCAATCAAAACAAGCTTTGCGTTTGGACTTGGTGATGGAAGAATTTATTATTGGAATGTGTCTAATAAGCGTCAATTAGAGCTAATCACATTGAGTTATTCTATGGACTCAAAAGTATTATCAGTAAGTTAAATAGATACATTTATAATATTTTAATTAATATAATTTTATAATTTTTCTTTAGTTAGCATTTCATCCACAAGATGAAGGTTTGTTAGCATATGGTACAGGTGATGGACGTATTGGAGTTTTTAATTTAACAAGAAAAAAAAATAATGTTAATTTATTAAAAACTGTACTTGCTAATCCAATTTATCGGTTATGTTGGGCACCATTTCCCAATACAAAGACAGTCGATGATGCAAAACTTGCTCTTTATGCAGTTGGTAATGGGCAAATTATAATTTACAATGATATGAATGTTTGGAAAGGTAAATTGTAGTATGAACATAATATTAAGCTTATACATAAATATAACATCGTTATAATTATATTTAAGAAAGTAATTAAAATTTTAACTTTATTTTGCTAGAAGAATGTCATATCTATCTACGTTTATAATTATTTATAATCTTAAAATTAAAGTGTAAAAAGCCACATATAGTTTATTTTTACCTTTAAATTTGACGGTTAGATCAATTCTCTCTAGTTTTAAAAATAGTAGAGTAAAATGTATTATTCTGAACATAAAATTTGAGATGTTACACATTAGTAATATAGAAACAAAATATGAGGATAAATGTTCTAAAAGATGTATGATTAATTATTGTTAACACACAACCTTTTTATTAAGGGGATTGATATAGGCAATTACAAATAACCTTTAAGTAGTCCCATGTTATATAGCAGGGGCGGCCAAACAGTCGATCGCGATCGACCGGTCGATCGCAAACGATTTTAAAGTCGATCGTGCTAAAATTTATTTTTAGGCTGCGCACACGAAAATTAATTATGGTGGTATAGTAACTTAATAATAATAAAAACTTTTTTATTGAAGTCGATCCTCAAATGTGAAGTATATTTTTAGTAGATCGCGGCCGAAAAAAGTTTGACCGTCCCTGTTATATAGTACCATTGTTTGTAGTTTCATACTCAAAAATGAATTTCCATAGATATTAAAAAATTTTTTTTTTATTTTTTTCAAAAACCTACTAGATTTTTTATAAGTATTTCATATTGGAACTAAAATATTTGTGAACACAATTTTTTTATATATATATTTTAAATTTAAATTTGTACTAAATTAGATACCAAAACAAAGAGAAACAATTTTAGATACTTTGTTGTGATTTAAAAATATTTTTTCTCGAGGATTTGAAACGTTTACTTATATTTTATGTATACAGTGCACAATGACTTTTAAACCATTTAGATTAATTATATGTTATTGCTTACTAATAGTTTGTATTGTGTTATAAGGTAATATTGTATTAAATTGTATTATTGATGTTAAGCTGACAGTTTATTACTACTCAGAATTTTATTTCATATACAATAATTTATCATTAAGTTTAAATTTTATACATCTATTACAGTAATCTACTGAATAATAAGTATAATAGACTCTACAGCAGGGCAGTTATATATTTTTAAATCAATGATATTGGAAAATAGAAATGCTACACACAATAAATATTATTTTTATATTGTGTGTGTGTATTATTATAGTTTTTCTACTGTAACTTGTCTTATACTCTTTATTTTTCATAAACAATTTGTGGATGTAAATTTGTGGTGTCCTCAATCAAATAAAATTATTTGTAAATAATAATATACAAGTGTACATGACATTAAATTATATATAATTTATTTTAGATCCATTTAATTTGAAAGAATTTACTCAATTTAATGAAATTGAAGATAAGTTATCAACACCTGTTAAACGCATTGAAATGGCTTGGAAGCCAAATTATGATGTAGTTGCAATAGGAAATTCAAATGGGTATTTTTATATAATTAAATTACATTAATTACCAGTTTGTTTTTTACATTTTTATTTTATTTTAGGAGTATTTATTTATTAGACGGAAACACGTTAAAACTTAAACATGTAGTGAGTGGCCATGATCAATCTGTTGAGTGTATTATCTGGCATCCAACACATGTAACTTCTGACTATAGTGAAGAGTCTAAGTATAAAAATTATTTTGCATCAAGTTCGCACTGCATTAGAGTTCATCAATTTAATGAAGGTACTTATTTATTCATAGTTTAAATTTAAACTAATTATTATTTAATTTAATTTTTTCAGATTGTGAACCTTCATTGGTTGTTGAGTTTAAAGGACATAAAGAAAAAATCAATGAGTTAGCGTGGAGTCCTCATCATAATTTAATACTTTTGAGTTGTTCAAATGATTTTACTGCAAAAGTATGTTAATTATTGACTTATTATTTTATATTTAAATTAATTAACAAATGGAAAATGAACATAGCTCAATATCAAAAAAATTAAATAATTTTTATTTTATAATAATACAATTTACAATAAGGTTATCCAATATTGTAACAAATTAATTCTAAAATGTTATCATAGCACCTCTTATATTTTTAAAAGATTTGATATAGGCATTTTTAACATTTTAAGGACAATTAAAATATAATATATTACTGAATTAACATGTGTTTCTATACTCTTATGTCTATATTAAAGCTACTAATAATTAATATTATTGCAATCAAGGCTTGAAAATAATATGTTGTATGATCATTTAACTTTCAATAATTTGAATAATTTTCCATGATTTAGTAACTTTTTATTTTTTTGTTTACTTAACAGATTAAACCTTGAGATATCATACATAATATAAAATATAAAATGAGCTACTATAATCACAAAATGTTTTATCAAAGATTTTTAGTTTGATTATTTAAAATACCAAAATAAAAAATAAAGAACTATTAGGGTAGATAAGTTAATTCACATTTTAAAAATAAAAGTTTAAAATCATGTAAATAAATAATAAAGATAATAATAATTAAACAATATTATATAGATTAAATATTGTTTTAAGAAAATACTATTCGTCAATTTTTTATTTATGTAACAAGATATGATCTTTTCATACAAATCATAGTTTTTTCAAATCTAAAGTTAAAGTTGGTCGTTCTGTTTTTATATATTATTGTATTTATTTCAATTATTACACTAAATTTAATATTTGGTTTGTTAAAATTAAAAATGTTGATAGATATCTTTAGTATTATTTTTATTTGTCATTTCAGGTATGGAATGTGGAAAAGTGTACATTGATTGGAGTTTATTCTAAACACTTATGTACTGTATTGTGTGGTATGTTCTCACCTTGTGATGCTGATATAGTATTCACTGGATCTGCTGATCATTCTATTCATTCATGGCGATTATCAAAAGATTTACACAATTACACAACAGAATTCAAAAGTAAAACAAATGCTTATAAATATTTATTATTGTTTATTAGTACGGGTCATCAAATTTACTATATTTTTAATGTTTTAGAAAATCAAGATTCTCCTAATATTGTTAAAGAAAAAATTGTGACAAAAGTTGCAGACAATTCTAAAAATGGTATTTGTTTATTAATGTTTTTATTTTTTCTAATTTAATAATACATATTTTAGTATTTTTGTTAGTGTTTTATATAATCTTTTGGGTAATATCAGAGACTTCTTTTAATGTTATTTAATTCTTTTAGTTAGGAAATAAAAAAAAAATAATCTGATCTCTTATATTCAAAAATAAATGTTAGATATGACATTGTGGTTAATCTATACTTGTATTACATTTCAAAAGAAAATAACCATATTTTGTATATCATGACTGGTATCAACAGCTACATCTAGACTCATTTTCTTCAACATATAAGTTAACATTTCCCAAACAGCGGTAATTGTATAAACTTGTCTGATTTTTCATCATTGTTTGGTAATAAAATTCTACAAGCTGGGATATGGTCAGTACCAAATTAAAACTGGTTGGTGATCTGAGTATTCTCATTTAGAATGAAATCATTAGACTTTATGTTTTTAGAAAAAAACATACTCGAAATTTTGCTAGATTTTATTTGTCAAAACTTACTTAGTATATCGATTTTTAATGCTTAAATGATGATGCAGTCATTATTTATTTTTACATTGGTTATAATGTTTTTAGTTTGTCTAAAGATGTTAAATATACCTATTTATTATTTACCTTTATAGTCTATTGAAGTTACCCCATTATCAATTAATTTATGCAGAGGTTTTTAAATTGGTTTGTGTACTAATGGTATGTTCTAGATCATGTTGCAGTACCGGAAATAAATTAAAATATAAATACCTTGAAAATGATCATATATTTTACCAAATTTTTAAATTCTTTTTTTATGCTGTACATAGTTATAGTTGATTTACCATATACATTTAGAGTATACATAATGTAATGTTAGAAAATTTCATAGATAATGTATTATAATTTGATTTTTATATGAACTACAGATTCAGGCAAAGAACATTCAAATAAAGTTCAGCAGTTTCCGTTATCAAGTTATGAACTTTTTATTGGAAAACATCTAGAAAAAGCAGTAGACAAATTCATCGATTCTAAGTATAAAAATAATGTATCTGTAGATGAAGAGATAAATTATTTGGCATTTTTTGGATCAACTACTGAAATGAAAAAGTTTTTAGAGGATGAATGTAAGTCGAGAAATTATTAATACTTGAAATGATATTTACCCATAATTTTTTAATATTTAAATGAAATCAAACATAAAATTCTACTTTGAAAATTTGTTGCCTTTATGAAAATTGGAATTGACTTTTGTTTAATCATTAATTAATTCTAGGAATTACTTTTCAAACTTTACATTTATTTTATTTAAGTTTTTAAAAGTTATTAAGTTATAATTTTTGAATATTTAACTTAGAAATATCCATTAAATCAATTAAGAAGTTAATCCATATTAAAATAAATAAGCTCATTTTTGAAATTCCATCAATTATCATTGTACTAATATCTAATTTATATTATGTCTCCTATAAAAATAACATTAGGCAGTAGATAATAATTGTTATAGTTATTGTTACTTTATTATTCAAATAACTACCTACCTTTGCATTTAAAATAAATTAATACAAAATAGCAATTTTTTGACCAATTTTCAGAAATATTAGCTGACAAAAAAAAAAACTGATTTATCTAAAGGGTTGGTCTAAACTTGGTGAAAATCAGTTGCTACCTAAGGTTATTCTTATATGAGACAAGAGTAATACATAACATGAGTGATATGATTAACTAATAATTATTAGTAAAAGTTTTAACTAGTTATTATTTAGTTAATGTTGATAATGATTTCTAAATATAATATCTAAATAAGTAAAAAAAAATATTTTATATAGGTTTTTAAATAGAATAAATGTAATTACTGACTATATCTGTATCTGTCATTTAAATTTAAATTTTATAGTTTTTAGGAGTTTGAGGTCTTATTCATGATAAAAACAAATTTCAATAATTTAATTATTAACTTTGTCTAGACTGTGCATTAAAAAAAAAATCTTCAAATCAAATGATTCCTTGTATGAACAATATAAATATATGGGGTCAAAACTTAGAAGGTTATTTTAAGGATGCAATTGTAACAAAAACTATCAATGATTGGATGATAGCAGTTGCTCCAAGTATTAGTTATGAGTATGTGCTTTACATTTTTAGATAAATAAATATTGCAATATTAAATTTATATATTTATGTTTAGATTATGGACAAAAATGTGTGATGTATATGCAAGTCAACTAGAAGATGTTGGAGAAGTTACTAAAGCATCAACATATTTAGTAGCTATAAAAAAATTTGATGAAGCTGCTATGTTGTTACTAAAAAATAATTTGTTTCGTGAAGCTTTAGCAGTGGTTAAAAGCCAAGATAAGCAAAATGATGAGATTATATTGGAAATAACTAAAAAGTGGGCGGAATATAATGTTCTTCATGGACATCCTAAAGAAGCTGCTCATTGGTGAGAATATCATAATTAATCTAATATTAGCTATTTTATTTATTTATACTGTTGATGAAATTATTTTTTAGTTATCTGAGTATAGGTGATGTGAGAAATACTATTTCATGCCTTATAAAAATTAAACAAAATAAAGAATTGTTATTAGCTGCCAAGTTAGCTAGATATATAGATGAAGATATGGAAGAATCTTTGGTTGTTAATTTACTGAAAACTGAATATTTTAAGCATCATAAATGGAATGAAGCTAAAGAACTTCTAAAAGATCATCCTAAACTTAATGTATGTGATTTTCATTAATTTAGTTTTAATAAGAGATGTAAGCCTACTGTAAATTGTACACAGATTAGTTTTTATTTTTGAATATTTTATATAGATTCATTTTTAAAAACAGAAACTTCAATTACACTTTATGCTGGTTCACTTTACAAGTGGTAGCAGATAATGGTTTCCTTGTCTTGTTTATATATATATATTATACATTTATATTGTAAATGTTTTAAACATTTTCTTTAATTTGGGTTTTCTTTTAGTTATTATAAATTTAAAACTTATTTGATTAAGTATTATCATAAGATTTGTATGTAGGATTACCATAATGGTTTTAGATCACGTTTAGATACCAAAATTATATTTCAATGAGGGGGTAGACCAGGTAATAGATATATTATATGTGAACAAATTAACACAAAAATACAAATAATATTAGTAGAACTATATTTTAGTAATACATTAATCGTTTATTTTGTATCAATAATGATGACAATAGGTCATGCGATGGCATGTGTGATATTTAGAGAAAAAAATATAAATGACATATTATACATTTATTTAAGTTTAACACAAAGACCTTACACCTGATATAACTTTGTCTTCAGTTTATCTTTACTAAATCTGAAAAAGTATCTGAAATTTGAGCTGTCTGGACGAAATCCTAAAGTATGGTAACCCTATATGTGAATACTTATAATAAATGTTTTCAATATTTAAAGTATTAAAAAAATAAATAGTTAGGTTAATTATATTTACATTTCTTATTTTTAATTTGATTTTTTTTTTTTTAGTATTTGAACATGTGGACTAGTGTTCATGAAGCAATGTTCGAATTAAACCCCAAAGTAACTCAAATAATAATTAAAAATTGGATTTGTGCTATATCAGTCAACGAAAATTCTTCAATTTTAAATTATATTTTGGAGCATGTAGAGTATAAACAAGATTATTATGACAAGTTATTAAAAATAGTGGGGTCTGAATTTATTTTTGATGCTTCACTTTTGTTGCCAATGGTAAAGTAAATTATTTATTTATTGTATTAAGTAGTAACATTATTTTGTTATGGTTTTTTTTATTTAAAGATATAAACATATGTCTAGCTATTCTGACAATAGCCAAATATGCAAATTTAAATTGACTCAAAACTAATTTTTATAATTTTTTTTTTTTGTGGTTTTAAAACTAATTGCATACAATACAATTAAAAAAAAAAATTATTTTGAATTTTGCCAATTTTTAAATAGTATTATAATATTTCTTTATAACCAATGTTTTTTAAAAAAATATGTGTAAGTTACATGTATTATAATAAATTAAGTTTAATGATAAAATTAAACTAATCATATTAGTTATAATTATTATTATTTTACTTAAAAAAAAAAAATTTATTTTTTAGATTACTGTGTTCTTAGCAGGCCAGTTATGTTTAATAGCCTTACAGTATCAAAAAACTGGATTATTTACTATAGATTCTCAAAAGCGTTTAATAAAATGTTTTGCACTTGCATATAACTATGAAACAGAATATACAGATTCCAATTCAAAATTTAATAAGATCCTCTCAAGATTGATATTATGGCTTTTTCCTAAAGGTAATAAATAATAATAAACTAATCTTGATAAACCATTTAACTTAATTTTATTTCTATTTATTATTGTAGGACCTTTAACATTGGATTTGTTTACACATTTTGAATTGAATGACAATTTCATAAAGTCTATTCGATCTTATTTATGTTACACTTGTTTTTCATGGTTAAACCCTTTGCTTACTAGTATAAAAAAAAAACTTGACTTGCCGGTTGATGAAAATTTTACTGATAAAGAGTATTTTAGTGAAACCATTATTTTAATTCAACAATTTCAAAAATTATTTGACAATTATAAACATGATATAATGGATGTAGAAACTGTAAACTACTTTAAAGCTAAAAAAGAAATTGAACGTATAAATCAACTACTGACTTCTAGCTCTTCTGAAATTAATATTGATGGTAAGTATTAATTTTCCTTATTCTATTTTTAACATTTCTTTTTAGTATTTTAATATTTTTATCTTATTTAAATAAAGGGACAGTAAATGAAGAGTTAATTGGATGTATTAAGTCAACTACCAGTGAAGAAGAAAATGAGAATACCGAGTTTTTAGACAGTAAAGTAATAACTTCAAAAGCCAATGACACAAAATCTTTGATTGAAAATATGAAAGAATGTAATATCAATAGTAGTATTAATTTTAACAAGTTATGTGTAGAAAAAGATCAAGAAAAATCAAATGATTGTATCTCATTACAAAATAAGGAAATAAATAATTTACTCAATAATACTAATAAAAATGGTGATATAATTCACACAAATAATGAAACAAAAATAAATGAAGTAAATTTGGAAAAACAGAATTCTTTTACAAACTTAGACGATAAGCTAGTTATGCAAAAAATAAAATTTAAAAAGAAGATTTATCAATTTTATCAAAATATCAAATCAGAAATAGAAAATTTGAATTGTTTAAATGATCAGTCATCTGTCAAGTATATTGCTCATTTAGAAATTGAAGCCTCAAAGAAAAAAGAATTTGAACAAATTGTAGCTGAATTTGAAAGTAAACGGATTAATTCTCCTAATCCGTTTTTATTTATAGCTGAGTTGAAAACATTTATCCATGATTTTGATATCAACTTTAAATCTGATAATTTGCTGTAAAACAAAAATGGTTTTTATTTAATCTATGTGATACTCTACTGTTTCCTTATTGTTAGTTAATTGACAATTATCTCTTATTTATCTTTAAAAATTTAATAATTAAGTTTATATAACATGTATTAATATATAATAACATTTTAATTAACTAAAAATATAAATTCTAATCTGTTTATCTGGAACTACAGTAAAAAAAAAAAATTATCATTTAATAATTAAATTTTAAGACTGAGTTCTGTTTATCAAGTAATTTATTTATTTTGTTGATTTAAATTTTGATTTAAAATAAATTAAGTAATTTAATAACTATATTGTAGTCATTGTAGCATTTGTTGGTACCTATTTACTGTGAACTAAGTATAATCATAGATTAAATATTCTTAAGTATATTTAATCTATGGTATAATACACCGAGAATATATTATGAATGTTTAATTGTATTTTTTTGTTACAATATTTTGTTTTTGTATAGAGTATATAATTATTATAATTGTTTATTAAATACTTTAAAAAGGAAAAAAATGATAAGACAAAACATTGGGAATTTGTCCTGCGTCAAAACGATCAAAATGCAGCTTAATGATACAATATACATTACAATGCAATGATGGCAACTGAAAAAAAAAATACAAAGTGACTTTGATTTATAATATATCATCTTAGGGTTAGGGGCTTAGGGCTTTATATTTAGTGTGTTAAACATTTTTTTTTAATAACTATTTGTAGTTCACAATACCTACCAATTTAAAACATTTATCGAATACTGAATGAATAGTATTAGAATTATGAATTAATGAATATTAAACGCGACCTCTAATAATAGAACATTATACTTTTTAAATATAAATATTTAATGTTTCTTAAATCACTTCAATGGATGCAGCAGTGAACCAGGATTGTTTTGTAATGCTTTGGCTGCTGTTCGTAAACAGTGGTTAATCATATTATATTCGCGCTGCTGTTGAAAAATAAATTAAACTCGAATATTACATGTTCATTTTTTTTTCCGTGTTTGACGAAGAAACCATCCAGCGACAGTACTTCGACACGTACATTTATAAAATTAGATTCAGGCCTGGCCATTTCTTTTGCCGATCAACAGTGATCTAAAATTCAACTTTCAACATGGGCTCTCTGGCCTTGGCTTTTGCGTTAATCGATTCTGTGATATGTAGACTATCTATGTGAACTACAAATTTTGCTATATTTGTATTCTTTATTGTGACGTATAACTATGGTCGTAGTCGTAGTGTTGTTCAACTTTAATTATTTGGAATTTGGAATTTTGAAATAATAATACTGAGATATATTTTATGTATACGGTAAATTCGATGGTAACTGTTGGTAATGTTTTTTTTTTCAATTTCCAGTCTTTATCGGGACCTTATCATTTTTCAAACAAGTGTTTATCACAACCCGTGTTATGATAGTGAATAATGATCGAAATTTAGTGATCACTGATCACAGAAATTCTTTGGGAATTAATTATTTTAAAACATCTAAATATAATATATATATAAAAAACATTTTTGAGTATATAAATGATTATTAATTATTACAATCTAAAGACTATAGATATTATGTTTATCATTCGTTTGCTTTTTCAAACTTGATTTCATGTAAAACTTTTAGTATTATCAGCCGCTTAACATTTTAGTTATTATAAAAAATATAGATTATAATTTATTAAAATAACTTTAAAATACCTACCTAGTTTTCAAAAATTAATTCTTACTAACTTTTACCATGGCAAATCCACCAAGTAAACCACCGCGGGGAATTAAGACTCCAAAGGAAACTGTAAGCACTTATAATTCATATTTATTTGCCTATAAGTTTATAAATTAGGTTTGCACTTATAATACATAAATTTATTAATTATTTATAATATACTAACATTTCAATGTAATTTTTAGTTCAATTATAGTTAATAATGCAGTTTTAAAAATATGATATCATACAACCTATAAATTATTAACATGACTAAACAATATAACACTTTTAGGCTTAGATATTTATTATATTTTTATCTAGTAAATACAATGACGATTTGTTATGTATACACTGTATACAATGTTTACTCTAAAAATTTAAATTGTTAAATTTTTGGATTATTTCATAGTTGCATTTTCCTTTGAATAAATTGTAAATTAAAAAAAATACTTACCTATTTGTTATATTTTTCATAGAGCGGATTACTAATGACTATGATTCGAGCATTGTCTGCTACTGAATCTAACGAACATCGTGAAATTGAAAAAACTGCATTAGAGAGAGAATTTAAGCGATGTGATCAAAAATTAGAAGAATTGATTTCTATGGAACACCAAAATCTTGCTCGTGTAATGCATTTATTTACTTCAGTGTCTAGTGAAATTAATTTATCTAGAGAACGAGTTCAAGCTGCTAAGCAGAAACTTCTTGCATGTAAAACATTATTAAGATGTAAACGGGATGAGCTAAGAAAATTTTATGTTGAGAGTATTGAGCAACATCACATGCTAACACAATTGACTCAAATGTGAGAATTAAATTTAAGTTACTGACTATTGTGTATAATAATTAAGTATTTTATATAATGTATTTTTTTTAGTGAACAAATTAAAGAAGTTCCTTTTCAATTGAACGTATTAGAATCAAAAAATCAATATTTACAATGTACTAAATTGCTAATGGACACTTTGCAAATAAGTAATAATGATTTGAAAAATATAGATGCATTAAATGAATTAAGAATTGAACTGAAACACAAAAAACAAGTAATAAAAATTAATAAATACAATTATAACTTGTATCATAACAGTGTGGTTCTATCTTCACAAACATTTTTTTTTTTTAAATATTTATGATCTGAGTTACTAATATACAAAAATTACTCCTATGTTTAATAATATGCTTATTATACTAATAGCAAATAAAGATAAAACCATACTGAGATACCTATAATGTATATTTTACTATTTTATAGCTTTAATTTTTTTATATATTTTTATTTATCAGGCTCTATACAATAGATTATTGGATGAATTAATGAATCATATTTATGTTATTTCACCACAATCTGCTAAATCATTTCGTCGTACTGGGTCAGATGGATATAATTCTTCATTTGGACAAAGTACAAGAAGATCATACAAATATATACCACAAATTGTTACACACAAGTATTGATATTCATTTAGATGTACCTATGTTTACTTATTAATTTTTTATTATTTTTTTTTTTTTTTAAATTTATAACAGAGACAATTTAAATGAAAATAATGAGACTGATATTAACGAGCTTGATACCGAAAAATTTGTCCCTATAGCTGTTGAGTGCCTTGCCATACTTTTTAAGTTAAATGATACAATTGAAGTAAGTATTAATAGTTTTATTTTAAAATAGTTGATTCAATTTTATTAACCATGACCATATGTTACATTATTTTTAAGAAATTAAAATCTACAATGCAAACACAATTAGTTGAAATTGTTGAAAAAACTACAAAACAAATATTAACTACTAATCAATCAAAAAATTCTGGGGAACAATTAGTAACTTTAGTAAACGGAGTCATTTTACAATTTTATTCAGTTGTTGATGCACACCAGCTCTTTTTAAGCAGTTTAGATAAGATTGTTGACCAAAAACTACTAGCCAATGTAAACAAATATGATCTTAAATATGTTTGGGAAAACATTGAGTCTATTGTAAGTAAATTATTCAGAAACTTTTATATTTTTAGCAAGTATTCAGTTAATTTTTCAGATAAAAATATACTTCACAAATTACTTAATACTTAATAAAACATAATATATACATGAAAGTTAATTTATTTCATTAAGTTAAAATAAAGTTTAATGTTTTTAGGTGCAAATGTTCTTAAGTAATTATTTGGACGTAAATAGTCATTCAGATTTAGTTATAAAATCTACACCAATTTTTAGTAATATTGATCTAAATATTTTTTTTTCAAAGAAAAAAATTCAAAGGTAATTAAGTTATTTATTTATTAAATCTTCTAAATTTTAAAAATTTGTAAATTTTTTAGACCAAAACAATGTCTTTTTAAGTTTTCAAATGCTTTTGAAAGTTCTTCTGATATATTAGAGGTAAGTATTTACTTTGATTATATATTTTTATTTACTAACATTTGTGGAATTGAAACAGTGTTGGTATAGTATAAGAGCTATATTACTGAAAGAAAATATTAAAAAGTAATTTACTCTTACAATACTTGATAATTTTGAATGTTCACATTAGGCACTTATAAACTATCAGTTATTTTAATTAATTTGTACAAAATATTTTACTATCATTTATTTTTTTTTCAAGATATGTTTCATTTTTTTTTCTTTAATTTATTTTCAATTCATGTAATATTTATATATATATATTTTTAATTATACTTAATTAATATAGTATTTAAAACTCCTTGAAAAATTTTTGGACATAATTTTGTCAAATTTCCATATCTTCATTTTCAGATTGGAAAATCCCAATTACAAGATTTTGTTTCTAATAATCATTATTATGTTTTCCTTTTTAGAAATTTATAATTTTTATTAATAATTTAAATACATTAAAAAAATAAACACAAATCTGTTCATAACATTTAATATAAAAAATTTTAAAAATATTATGTAAAGAAATATTAAACTTATTTGAATTATTTCTATTTTTCTGTTTCTAAATTAAGAACTCTTTCAATTGGAATTGTAATCTTTGTAAATTCCTATACCATAAATTGTATATTATAATAAATTTAATAACATTAAAGTTTACTACATAATTATCTAAAGTTGAAAGACTTATACCATTTTGGTTAAATTATAAAACATAAAATCAGTAAATTGTGGTGGCTGTTGATAAAAGTAATTAAGTAAAATCTGTATCATTACTACACATTTTTTAGTAATTTATTTATACAAATATATTCAAAAAACTGATTTTTCATATTTAATTAAATATTTTGGAGAAGGGATTGGGTAATAGGATTATTCCTAACAAAAATGTGATCTTTATTAATTGATGTTTATGTATATTTTTTATTATATGAATGAATTAAAGAGTTATAATAGTTTTATGTATTTTGTAGAGACCTTTTACCAGTATAACACAGACACAAACAATGATTTGCACATCAAGTTCAGATAATATAATTTATATATATGAACCACTCACAATGTTTATACAACAAATTGAACAATCAATAAACATGTAAGAGAGTCTTAAATTAATAAAACCTTAAAATAATATATTGATTACAAATTTTATATACAATTATGAATAAAGCTAAAATTTAATATTTTAGGAGTACATGTACTTTAAGTTTATGGCTTAATGAATACATAAGAACAGTTTTTCTTGATCGTCAGCATAGTAAAGTAGCAACAACAGTTGAATCAATTACTAAGCAAGTTGATGCTTGGCATGCAATTACTACACCAGAACAAATTCAGGAGTTAATCATTTCTAGACCATTATTATCAGTAAACAATAAAATAAAAAGTTATATTAATTAATTAATATGTTAATTAAAAATGTTTTGTTTTAGAGTACTGTTAGCATATGGAATAATATATGTCAAATAAAAAAATTGGTCATAACTATGCCAGAATATGCATCACATTTCTTAATGATAATGGTTAGCATTAGTAGAAGCTATAAAGAAACTTGTGATAGCTTATTTACTTCCAATATTAAATCATGTGATAATACTACCAAGCTAGTTAGTTATTTATGGATTCAAAAACATGATTTAGTTGACTATCTCAAGTAAGAAATATTGCCTGTTGATAATAAAATATATAAAAACATGTTAATTGCCAGACACAGAGCTATACTTAATGAAATATACGTTTGTTAAGTTTGATTGCACTTTTGCGATGAAAATCAGCAAAATACAAATTAAAATATGTACCTGTTCTAAAATATTAAAATATACTTACTTTAAATGTACAGTAAAACTCGCTTAAGACGCTTTCCCGCATAAGACGCTGTTTTTAGTCGGTCCCTAGACATTTCCTATACTAGTCAATGTAAAAATCACCTGTTAAGACGCTCAGTTTTTCTCTGTCTAATGGGGTAAAACGCTCTTTTTTTCAGCAGATTACGATAAATTTTAGTAGTTTTGTGAAAATAAAAATAGAATTTTTAGTACTATACGTGTTCTTATCGTTTTATTTTATCGCTATACCTATTTTATCATTACTTATTATAACAGTTTTACTGTATTTCATCGTCTACTCCTACAATAACTATTGGTTTGCAACATTTATCGGAAATTCGGAAAATATTATCCTATGTTGAAAATTCCGAAGAAATGTTAGGTTGTCTTAATAAAATTGAAAACTTTCTTGCTGAAACACATTGTCAGAACCTTAAACGATCAAAAATAGATCATTTTTTTAATAAACAATAATAAAATATGTATGTAATAATAATATTTTTTTAAATTAAATTCAGTAGCACAAAAATATAAGTATGTATGTATATTGTAATTATAATTAATTTATAAATGTATTTCTCATTAAATTATGTTTAATAATAAAAAATAAACTCGATATTTCAACCACATCATTTTGTTTCATTCCCGCATAAGACGTTTTGGAGAGCTGGTCCCTTAAAGAGCGTCTTAAGCGAGTTTTACTGTATTTTAAACAATTTAAATTATGTTTAAAGCTTAATTTTTAATTATATTATTTAAATGTAGCAATATATATTGTATTTGCATATAAAAAGAGCATAATATTTTATACAAGTATTTTTAATTATCAGTGATTATTACTTGAGTAAAATATATCTGTTAAATTTAAAATTGTATGAAAAATACAATTTTAGTATAATTATTAAAACTAACAAAACACCAATAGTAATAATTAATTTCAGCTCTGTAAATGAATAAAATATTATTAAAAAAATAAATATTTTCAGACAATCTCACAACTGGGTTAGAAGAGAATATGAAAATAAATCAAAAAAAAGTTCAGTGGATGAATTAAAACGATATACTCAAGAAGTTGATAAGTTGTTTGAGAATTTAGAAGGAAACGATTTTAAAGTAACCAGTGTTTCAGATATAAATCAACTTAGGTGTTTAGCACACCTTTTGGAAAGCATGGTAAGTTCACAGTAACTGACTGTTTGAAATTATTTTTATTTTATAATTTAAAATAATATTTTGTTTTATTAAGGAATGGTTTGGAAAAAAATTAAATGAGATTTCAAATCCAGAATCAAAACATTATTTAGTCCCCAAATTGAACACTTCTAAAACGGACAATAATAATTTACCATTGTCACTAGTTGAAACTTTACACCAATTGGGTAAAGATTTCCTTGAGATTTCAGATAATATTCTTTTGTACCTTTATTTAGAAGTAAGTATTGTTATAATGTCTAATATATCATAATTAATTAGAAGTTTAGACACTATAGCTTTGGTTGCAATCATATTTATTATTGCTGTATTTTTTCCATTTTTGATCCAATATTATCAAAAGTAATTAAATAATCCTTTACAAAATAACCAGTTTGTTCTTTTAAAAAAAGTGATTAAGTATTTACTAAATGTATTTATGAACAGTAAATATATGTAGTATAAAAATGAAGTAATGCAGCATCTAGTTTCTATTGATTCTTCCGTCTGTCAAAATGTACATGGACTAAAGTTATGTGTTTGAAGTAGATTTTTATTTAATAAAAAAGTCAAAATATATAAATATTTATGTAGACATTTTTTCTATAGTACGTGTTTAAAAATATGAATAATTTAACAAATAGTTGTAACTTAACATTTATTTTAATCATTTAAATCATATAAAAAAGGAAAGTACTAAATATAACAACAAACTAAAGCAGCTAGTAACTAAAGAAGTAGATTGTATAACATATATAAAATAGGTTTTAGCTAATTTTTGAATGAATGATGTAGTTTTTTGAAAATTTATTAACAAAATACTTCTTAAGTATTCCATTAAAAAAATTCCATCCAATAAATATAATTAAACTTAGAAATTATAGTAACTGACTTTTAAATACAATTTTTTTGTTTAATTTAATAATAATAATAATAATGTAATAACTTATGACTAATAATACAATGTATATGGCACATTAATTATAATTTTTTTTTTTAAATTTTTAGGTGCGTGCTATAAGTATTTACTATCTTTTACCTAGTTTTGAATCGGCTATTGGAAACACAACAGAACCCAAAGTTTTGGATCTTAATCAATCTGTATCATCATTGCATGAAGCTATGTTGAATGCAATTTCAAATAGCAAATCTCAATACATTTTTGAAGGACTTGGTGAAGTGATGGCCAAGAGTTTAGTAAACTATACTCGAAATATAGAAACGATTGATGAAATTGCAATTAGAAAAATAATACGTGATATTACAATGCTAAAATACAACATAGCTGCAATGTTAGGAGCATCACAAGTTACTTTAGAAAAAACAATTCATTATTATGAATTATTACTTTGCACTCCAAAGGTAAACAAAAAAAAAAAAAAAGAAATGAAAAGTTTTAAATCTAAACTTATAATTTTATGTGTAGGAAATACTGGAAGAGATATTGGAAAAAGGAGCTAGTTTCAGTGAAGCAGAGTATTTAAATTTGCTACAAATTGTTCATAGGAGTAATAAAAACGTAGAAGAAACAACTAGTTTACAAAATGATTTGAAAAGATTATCGGATATTTTATCACAGACTAAACAAACATTTTTAATATAATTATTTTATTCGGCAATAATAAACATAAATTATATTTTTTTATAATGAACTGCTTATCTATTTAGTATTTATTAAACAAAACAAATATATTACTGTTATATATTTTAATATTATAAAGTATTATAGTTTATATTGATATTATTAATTATTTATACACTAATTTATTAATAAAAAATATTTTTTAAATGTATATATTTTTTCAGTTTTGTTGCTTGTTTATTATTTTTGAATTTTTGAATAGTTATATAATCATATTATATACACAAGAGCACAGGGAATGTATTAAACATTTTAATTAAAGTTATTGTTCACATATTTAATGTTTTATCATAATTTATAGCTCTTTAATTAAAATTAGATAATTAGATTTTAGATAGATTTTTCAGTCTAACATTTTGATGTTTTGTTACCATATCAATAGCATAGATATCTAGAGAATTTTGTGTCAAATCGCTGATCCTACCGAGCACCGGTTACCATTGCATCTTGTCATTTTATGTCAAACCGATAATTAATCTTCGAAATTGTGATTAGGACAAGCTAAATTATCTTAGTGTCTGGGCCTTAATCGTAGCAGGATTTAGAAATTCCAACAGCAAACTCAAATACAATTCGTACTTGTTTAATTTTTCAAGAAGTTCGACATGAAACTGCTAAACGTTGACACAGTTTTCCACCATGTTTACGGTTGTGCACTCTTAGCTGAGAAGCCAAAACAGCTTACGTCTTGAGCAAATAATCAGGCTTTTACCTTTAAGCTTTGGTATCGATATACGAGAATGGGATATATTTAACTCATAAAATAAAAATGAACCAACTGTCTGGAAACTGGAAAGAAGACGACTTTGTTCTCCACGTGATTTCCATCGGACTATGATTTCGGACCGGGCAGCAAAATTTCCAGATAAGCTTTGATTTGTGAACTTCCATTCGGACATCCCGTTTCCTAGGTACGTCGAATGAACACTGAACAGCTTTCTGTAAGTACCTACATCGTGACTCAGGTCGGATAATAATAATATTTTGTTTGGACAGTTTCGATGTTCATTGGAAATATATATCTAAATAGGTTAGGTATTTTACTATTTTATTACCAAATCAACTTGTCTCAAATCCTTGATTCGGTAATATCATAGAAAATTACAGTATTCGATGGTAATATCCTAGTGTTAACCTCGCGGCCACATTTAGACCGTTAGTGGCAACTTATCATTGTGATTAAATGCGATGTCTATTTGATTTTAGTTACGTGTATAGCAATAAAAACATATGAGTGGTAAACGAAAATTGAAATTTTGAGAACTGTGTACATAAATAATTTCCCGATTCCAAGGTTTCTTTTATGATTAAAAATCCCACAAGAACTTAACCTGTTACGTTTTAGTTGAAAATAAGTATGTCATAAACAGGTGGGGATCCAAAAATGTATTAGGAAGGGGGGGTAATAAATCCATCATGCTAAGCCCCGATTGACAGTCTATCGTATTTCTTTTGGGTAGTGGGTAACCTAACCGAAGCTCAAGGGGAGTATTTACCCTATTAATCCCCCACTCACCTTGGATCCGCCACTGGTCAGTGGTCATAAATGCATTCAAAAATCAGTTGTAAAAAAAAGTAACCACTCTGGTGTCGATTTTACTTCGTCAGAAAAGTATCAAGAGCTTTTGAAATAATGGGTATTGGGTGTTTTAAGTTTAATTATTTATTGTTTAATGAATAATCTCAACATTCTCAACTCTGGTACCCTAGATAAAGGGATAATAATTAATAATATGTTTTTAGTTAAAACCAACGGCTTCTTCCGCTGATCCGCTGTCCGCTTGAAGTTTTCGACATTTGATATGTAGCTTAATCTCTCCGCTAGATAGCACAGTCATGTTCTATTTATTTTAAATACAATTTTTAGTTCTCCGAGTCTGTGTGCAGATTTCTCCGTCTGTAGTTAATTGTGTGTCTCTTGCTCGCAATTCACAAAATGATTTTCTTATAATTTTATAAATTTTATTTTGAATTATATTTATATTTTTAGCCACAGTTACTGTGTAGTAAACCGTACCTATTATTTCTTTCTTACGTGCAACAAATATGAATAGAGTTCAATTTTTAATTTAGACGCGGTGGACTTGCTGACACTGAATGTGGAGAATACGCAAGAGATTATCAAAGTAAATTATCTAATTATATGTACTAATCATTACATTTAATGGTCAGATTAACAGACTTTTCATTTATGTGTTATGTACAAATGTATAATGTACCTATTTATAAATATATTTTATTGTAAGCCACTAACATGGGAGAGGCTCCATTATAAAAATCAAGTTGAGACTTGATGAAAAATCAAAATGAAAACTAAAAGTTCCAGAGTAGAGGTGATAAAATATATCTGAATTGAATTGATGTTTTAAAATTCAAAATATGTTAATCAGGCCAATTAGGAGCAAATGTGTATAAAAATGTCTATATAGTGGTGGTTTGTAAAGAATTAACCATCTTTGTAATGTCGTAGAGTTTACAATGTAAATTAATGAATAATGATACAATATAATTTAAATATTTTTTGGTATTATAAATTTTTTTTGGGAGAGTTAACCTTTCAGCATTTGCCATTACTGCTAAAGGTATTATCGCGAATAGTTTGACGGCGGAAACGTTTTATCTACTGTAAAATATCTGGCGGCAAAATCTACAATCGGCGTCGAAACTCGAAATCATAATAATATAGTAAAATGTCCTAATTAGAGTAATTAGACCTAATATCAGCTATGAATTATTATTATTATTTGTTTATTTTAATTTGGTTTCGTTTTACTCGTTTGGTGTTTTATTTGTCTTATTAACGTACCTACATAATAAAAATATCATGTTTTACAATTTTATTTTGTTATTTTTAATAGTATATAAGATGAATTTATCTATTAGTAAACTTAAAGGTAAGATTACAGTTTATGGATCTATCAAGTAGAATTTTTATGATATTTTTTAACTTTGAAACAAGTTATATGTATTTTAAGACTGATCTAACTTGGTTATTTTTGTAAATTTTAAACACGAGACTTACGAGAGTACGATGTATATTTCATAGAACTTTTAAGGTCTATTACTCTATTATATGACGTTGACTAGGGTTCATCTTAGATAAACTGATCTTTGGGGGGACCTAGGTCAATTTCGTCTACGATTAAATAATAGTTAGTATTTATTAATTAGGTATCTACAATTAAGATTTTGACTTTTTGCCAGAGAGTTCATCGGAATGGTCTAGGAAAAAACATCTAATCAAAAATTTAGTTGGTTAATCCTCTCTCCAATCGGTCTTTTTATACTACATCTCCATACGGATCTACTCACCCCAACTCTTCTAACTCGCTCCAGTAAATTGGAAAACCGATATATAATTTATAACCATAAAATTATTGACTCAATTCTATAGCAGTTTTTTTCGTTTATGTAGTTGTTTAAGTTGTTGATTTCCTTTTTGGTGGTGGTCACGATTATTTATTCCAAGTAATTATGGCGGAGGCATTCCGAATAGGTAGGTACCGGTTACCTACCAATGTCGAAAATCGTAAATACCTATTGTACCTAGTTAATAGTAATATAATTATAGCTCTAGTGATAGTTTTGGTCTATCGCTAAAAAAATTACAGACATGTTGGAATGAATGACGTTGCGAGTCACGAGACAGTTACACTATCACGTATTACACTTACGATAAGCACACAGATAATTTTTCCATTTATTCGATATTTTTCTGTCATTAAATTGTAAATTTTTTTCTAGCGACAAAGACTGCTTTCACCGCTTTCTCGCTCTGTCACGGCATTTTATTGCCGATGTTCTTTCTCATTTCTTGTGTAATAGATAAACTTCTCAGTTCTCGTGGTCTATCCATTCTCTAACAATTATCTGTGCGTCCGACCGAGCCGGTAAGCACCGAACGACCGAATGTACGCGGCACGCCCGGATATCTGCGATGTATGCGGTATAAAATGTTATGTTTATGTATCTATGCGAGAAAAACATTTTTATTCCCCATATTAGTTATCGTTGGATACTTGGCATACTCAATACTTCTATAGTTCTCAAGTAACTGTATAAGTAAGTTGTGCCGTAAGCTAAAATAGTAGGTACAAGCAATAGAGGTTGGCAATGCTGAATGTATACCCGCGCCGAACGTACTGTAAGCGCGCGAGTTGAGAACCCCTAGATAACAGCGTATAGAATAATGATATTATTGTAATAAATACACCGACTTACACACACATACACACGCGTGTATATATATATATATACTTAAGTATATTTACGTGTGATATTAATAAAAATATCGGTTTGATTATATTTGTGAAAAACCAATATCTGTCGGCTTTACAGTAATTAATAGTGTTGTTGATGGTTAATTGTTATTGGTTACTGTAGATCAACCAAAATATGTCAACCCGCGATCTGTTACCAAACGGCTGTACGACAACAACAACAACAGTATTATAGCAACTCAAAATATTACCGTCGTTGTATGGATCTGAAACCGTACACGGCAGTGGTTAATGGTTATTGGCTACGAACTGATCTTACTGATCAAAGTACGATCGTCGGTGTTGCCGGTTTAACCCCATCCGATCGGGCGCGTGAGCTTTGTGCTTAAGTGTTTTAGATTAAAACTATTTTGAAGTTCTTTTTATCTTCTCAATAACGACGACGACGACGATAGAGCAGCAGCGATTCGGAACGGTTTCCTCCCGACGTTTATCATATCGGCCGGTCGCGGAGTCATTGCTAAATCAGAAGATTAGAGGTACCGGTTAACGAATCCGTTTTAGGCCCTCAGGTCTTCGTGCTTTTTCATCGTATGTAGAGGGTGGGTACGACATGTCCAAGAAAAAAGATCACGAGAGAAAGAGTCAGTGGGCATGGGCCGAAAACATACACCCCAACAACATCGAATTCGAACACGTACTCAAAGCATATCGCATCGGGCTGCCCAACTGCAAACCTCTGTCTTGCCGGTAAGTTCGACCCCTTTAATATTTTGTTGGACTTTTGTTCCATAGTCTCCTTTCCAACATTCATCGTATTTTTAACTATATTTCTGATTCTTCTCGAAATCATTGAGTCACTTGTATTTAGTAAGTCATGCACAGTTTTAAATCCTTGTTATATGACAAATTATGTACATAATCATAGTTTTGTGGTTATGCATGATTTTCATACATTTAATGGAGAAATTATTTTTAATTATTTTAAATTGATGTAATTTAATGCATTAAAAACAAGTCGAAAGAACTATGTAAAATTTAAAATACTGGTTTACTCTGCTTAAATTAAAAAAAAAAAAAAGTAATTTCATAACCTGGAAAACATTTTTAATTAAACTCATTTATTCAATTGTTTGAATTGTAAATCTTTGGTTTTTAGTCGTAATTGCAAAAATAATCCATACTGTCTATCTGGTCTGGGTGAGCAACGATGGCTTCAAGACAAAGTTCGTACACCTGTTGATGATTATGAAGATCCAGAGCTTGAACGACGACAAAACAATAAATTTGTTGGTTTAAAAAATTTGGGTGCAACATGTTATATTAACAGTCTCTTACAGTTATGGTTCCATAATATTAACTTCAGGTAAACATCCATTATTTTATTTAAGTTAGTATTTTATGTTTGATTTTGGTTTAATATGTTTTATAAAAATTAATTTGCTCATAATGATAATCGTCTTGTTATTTTAATTTTTAGAAAAGCGATATTTAATTGGAAACCAGAAGAAGATTCAACTGAAAGTCAAAACAAGTCTCTTTACATTGAAAACTCGTATGTACCAGAGACTAGTGTTGGTCATCTACAACTAGTATTTGCTTTAATGCAATTTGGTAAACAACGTTCAGTAGACCCTGAAGACTTCATCACAACTTTAAGAATTAATACTGCTCTTCAACAGGATGCTCATGTAAGGTTTTTAGTCAAGTAATATTGACAATATTGAGAAATAATTGACTCTAGGTAATTAAATAAAATTGTATTGAAATTCAGGAATTTTCAAATTTGTTCCTATCAGTCTTAGAAAACAAGTTCAGCACACAATCTGATGCGTCTGTCAGAGATATGGTTAAAGATAATTTTCTTGGTGAATATAAATATGTGACTACGTATGTACTATTATTGAATAATGTCTAATGAATTAAAACAGTAAATACATATATAATTCTTTTTTTTATAGGTGTTTAAAATGTAAGACTAAGTCCACACGTCCATCAACATTTTATGAACTCGATTTAAATATTAAAGGTCATAAAACATTAAATGAAAGTTTACAAGAGTTTTTAAAAGAAGAGCATTTAACTGGAGATGATCAGTACTATTGTGATCATTGTAATTGTAAACAAGATGCTGTTCGAAAAATATGTTTAACTACTTTACCTCCAGTGCTAAATATTCAACTAATGCGTTTTGTTTATGATAGGTATGTTTTCTAATCAATATTGTAATAAAATAAATTTTAATGTTCTATATAAATTATTATTTTTTTTAGACAAACGATGCAGAAAAAAAAATTAAACACCTATATACAATTTTCACAAACATTAGATATGGCTCAGTATTTAAATTTACCTGTTGATCTTAATGAATCATCAAGGGAAAAACATATGTACCATTTATGCGCAGTCCTTATACATAAAGGTTCAAGTGCATACTCTGGTCATTATATTGGTTAGTTTTCCATATTATTTCATATAATTATGCGATTTCAGTAGAATGATTGTATTTTTTTTTATATTGCAGCTCATATTAAAGACATTGCCGCTGAAGAATGGTATAAAATGAATGATGAAAATGTTGAAAAACTAAAAGGTAAAGGTTTAAATTTGTGCACAGAAGATGAATTTAAATTAAATGGTTCAAAAGTTACTAAAGCTCCCAAGATTCAAAAAGGTATGCTACAAACAAACAATGCTTATATGTTGGTTTATATGCATCATACCATGATAACAAAACTAAAAACTGAATCGTCTAACTGGGAGTTGTCACCAAGACTGATTCACCTTGTGGAGGCTCGTAATAATAACTTTGAGAATACAATATTAAATATTAAGAGTAATCGAGAGTATGTAGAAGATAAAGATAAAGTATTTGTTGAACAAATGTTGAATTTAATAACTGAAATGAACTCGGTATCTGTAAAAGAAAAAAATAAGGAAGCTATTTCATTACAGTGGCTTAATTATTGGTTTAAAATCACACCAAATCAGAATGTCAAAGAAATAAGCAACTGTGCAATATTATGTAAACATAATTTACTTGATCCTGATAAAGTGCATGAAGCCAAATACATTGGAACAGAATTAGTACGTATGAATAAGCATAAAATGCATGTATATTTATATGTTACTTGATGTTATTTAATTTTTACTTTCAGGCAGATAAATTGTATGGTATATATCAAGGGGGTCCAAGGCTAAAATTAAATTCATCATTATGTTGGAAATGTGTAAGAAATAAATGTGCCTTATTATACACTAAAGCATTGACTACTGAACAAAATAAAACTATCAACAGTGTTTTACATAGTTGGAATCCGAATCATAGTGCAGAGTGAGTATTATAAAATTTAATTAAGAAATGGATTTTTTTATAATTTGAATAGAAAAATAAATATTATATCATGTAAATAAAATATTTATCATTAATTATTAATTAAAATATGCATTTAAAACAAAACAGAAGTGTCTTTAAAAGTTTTATAGAAGTACAAATTGCTTAAGTATATAGTTTATATGTTTTTTAACAGTGGCGTGATATATATATATATATATTTCAGCTATATGAGTATAACATAACTAAGTTTATTTTAAATCTATAGTATGATGTTCCTAATTTTTTAAAATACTTGAAAACAAGTTAGTTTTTTTGTGACTGTGTGCAGCGTCAGATAGACAATTTTTTGCACTATTGAGTTTTAGGATTATTAACATTTGATACAGGTATTGCTACTGTATAGTTTAACAATTCATCTGTATAATATTTTATACTTATCATGATTATAATAAAAATAAAATTATAAACAAACACTCAAAACCAGCCTGTATTTTGTAGCTAGTAGTTCACTGGCCCGGACTATGCTACCATGGTTTTATGACCACTTACATTCAAATAATTTTATTTATTTATAAATATATCATTTTTTTTTTTTTTATCAGAATTTATTTAGGCATCTCATTTTAACAAATATATTTTGATATTATAAAAATCAGTTCATAACTTATTTTATTTTAATTTATTAAATCATTAGAATGTTACTACTGTATTTTTTTTTCGTTTTTTTAATATCATACATAATTAAAACTTATTAACCTTTCAATCATTCATTTGGTAAATTCAATTTCTGGTTGTGTAGTACATTGATGTAAATTAAATACTTCATTGGAATTTGAATTGACTCATCTGATTATAAAATAATATTTGTGTTAAACCTTGTAAAATTTATTTTTAATTTTATTTTGTAGTGATGAAAATCAAGAAAAAAGTTACTGGGTGGGAAAAGATTCATTAAAAAGTTGGCGACGAATGTACTTGGAATTGTTTGAATATTTTGTTAATAACCATGATATACCTCCAAACACAGCACTGCCTCTTAATCCAGATCTGTTATCAGTAGTATGTGATCCTTCTAGCAGTTTTGTTGAAGATAAAAAATTTTTTAAGTCTAAAGATCGAAGCCGATATATTAAAATGGAAGGGATAACTTTAGAATCTATTGATGGATGTCGGAAACTTGCTCATTTGTTTGTTAATAATTCTATATCAATTTTCAAAATTTTAAAGCTCAATGATTTCAAACCTTTTCATTATTCATTGTTGGAATTAGAATCAGTCTTAGAAGAAATGACAAATATATTGTCTTCAGTTATTGCTAAAAAAGTTAATGACGAATTAGCCAATGAAGAGCAAAAATATGATAATAATAAAATAGATAATTCAAAGAATATATCTGAGTGTTTAACTCCAAATGAAAGTGGATCAAAAACAGACGATGAGCACAAAGAAGATGATGTTGAGGATAACAGTCATGAAGAAAAAGATAAGCATGATGATTCTGATTCCTTTGATAACAAAAACGATACTGAGTATATGTCATGGGGATTCAATGAAGATATAACATGTTCACATGGTAGGTTTATAATAAACATTTTTTGTTTTCAATGTTTTCACTTATAAGGTATGACTAATTTATTTTTTATATATAATAGGGAACTTGACTATTGAGAACAACACTAGGAGATTGGTTCCAGAAGTAGTAAAAAGTATACTTCATTCATATTTTCCTAAAGCACCAATATTTGCTAATGATATAGAACCTTGTAATATATGTTTAGTAAGTAATAGGATTCTTAAATATATTTTGACCCATAATTAATTTACTATTGATTCAAATTATAGAATATGCATAATCAAGATGAAATTACTAAAAATTTACATAAGCAGTCCGCTATTTCAGAAAAAGAATTGCTAAGTGATTTACTGTGGAATAAAAAAAGACCTGTTCCTTCTCAAGAAAATTCTCCATATCCTTGCGTTTCTAAGAATTTTTTAGAATCTTGGAGAAAATTTGTGAGGTAATAAAAAATGATATCATTATTTAGTATTAATTTGTTGCTTGTAAAAATTGTGTATAATATACAGTAAAACCTCTCTATAACAGACCCTCTATTAAACAGAATCCTCCTTATAACGGAAAATGTCAATAGTCCCGGTGTAAATAATATATAATTTTCTACCTCTCTATGACGGAAAACTCTTTATAACGGAAATAATGTTGGTCCCAAATGATTTCGTTATAGAGAGGTTTTACTGTATATCATAACTAGAAAGATGCTTAGAATTTTTACCATAATTCATATATTAATTGGTTTTGTATGAAGTTCTAATTGATTTTCATTCTGTGTTTTGAATTATTCATAATTTCCTTTTAAGTATCTTACTATAATGTGCTATATGTATAAAATTGATTTATGAATTTGAATTTTTTACAACTTAAATATCTTCCATCTTATTTAATTTGTGAATTATATCATGTCCTTGATTAATTTTGGATTAAGAATTCTGCTAAGTAATGAATAAATTTATTTTTGATATTGGTTTTTAGTTGTGAATGTGAAAATGGTCTTGGTAAAATTAGTCATCCAATGGTATAAATTAAAAATTGATGGAGCAGAAATTGTATTTTGTCGATATTTTTTAATTTTATTATTGTTGGAACAAATAGGTGTTTTAAAATTTGTATTGTTCTAAATTTTGAGATCCAGGTGTGGTGTAAAAATATATCAATTTCCAGTTTCTTTTGTATCAATTAGAAATAATCTTTTTCTTATGTTATATTTTATCAATTATCAATAAAAAATTAATGTAATAATACACATTCAATTTAAATTAGGTAATTATTTTAATAAAATGCCCAATATTAAGAACAATTTGACTTAAAAAAAAATTGATGAATCATAATTTTTACATTTTAAATTACCTTTAAATTTGTCATATTTATGATGTTAAAACCATTGTCAAATTTTAATTTTTATATGACCATAAGTATTTTTAATATTTTTAGTTTTTAAGTTTTGGATCAGTATAATTAAGTACAACTCACTGGATCTATCATTAAATATTGGTTCTTATATTATCTGATACATCAGCCTACGTTAAAATATTTAAAAAGTTGGTACCTATATAAATTTACTTAATCTTTATTAATATATTATATAATATGTTCTTATAAGTTATAACACGTAATTTATTACTTTTAGTAAATAATGAACCATTCTGGTCAACCTTGATTATTGAGTAACAAAATATTAACAAATATAATTATGTATTGTATTTAATCGTATGTAAACATTTTGATTTTTTAACAAAATTAATTTTTTTCCAAAATCCAATTTAGTTTTAAAATTAGTTCAGATATCACGCTTAAAATTTGTTAAAAAATAGAAATTTTAACCTTATATTTTTATGCTAGTAACATAATCAAAATATATTATTTTAGAGTTAAAAATTTGAATGACAAATATGTATATATATATATATATATTTGAGTTATTTATAAGTACAGGAAACATGAATTTAAATTTTATTGACAGATATGTTTTTAAATTTAAAAATGTACCTTGAAACCTGTTGTTACCTACTTGATAGTTGATGTCTAACTTATAATAACGTCTAACTCGCATCACTATGATTATATTAATAAATTAATGGTTTCTATTTGTAATAAAATTTTTCTATTTTAGACTAACTACACTATTGCATTTTTTTTATTGCGAGCAAAAACCATTAATTAGACTAGTCGTCACGTAATGACAGACCTATTCGAGTGATCGATCCCGTGTGAAGTGGTAATAATGAACGCACGTTGAAGTTACACATGATTCTTCATTATCTACTACACACAGCCCCTAGTGTAATTCTTTACACATTTCGTTGAACAACGCGTGAATGACAGCCTGTGGTGTCAGTGACGAATAGCTACACCATCGAACTAATTGTGTGAAATAAATCAATCTTAATCAATTTTCTTCCCTGATTATGTATACATATAGTCTGTTGTGATAAATATGAGATTCCTTAGTAGTGTTTTTCTTTCTTTTTTTAAAATAAATTTACTTATATTTGCGTGATAAAATGAAGAGGAGGACCTAGTAAAACGCATCATAGCTAAAAGAGATTTGGTGAATCGGTAGTGAGGAGGATACCCAATAAATCAGAATTCAATTTTGAAGGGTAAAAATAAGGATGATTTGTGGCTCGAGCAGAGTCAACAACAAATACAAAACCACAGACTGTTGCAATATAATAATACATATATATATGTACTAGATCCTATGTCTGTATATACGTAAAAGTAATATAAAGCGCATTAAATCTCCATGTGTCAAAATATTGTTCCCGAAAAGCAGTGATATCTGCCCATTCGGCAAATTGTGATCGTGGACGAAAGAAGAAAAAATAAAAAAGTTAAAATAAACAAAACATATTTTTTAACCAAATGTTACGTCGAGTTTTGAGTTTCGATTAAATAGCGTTATTATAATATTTTATGATGTAATATACTTGAAAGAACCGTAAATATTTTTACTATTACTCATTCACAATGATATTCAAGTAAAAAGTTATTTAAAATAAATTTTCTAGCTGCATGCTGCATAATGTTTTGTTTGTTGAATATTTTCGTATTAGTATACATATTAATTTTTAATACTAGGCATCTATTTAGTTATTTAGAACTAATAGCCTCTTCTTAAACCTGATTCGACCTTAAATTTATTTTTGTGCTATTTATAATTCATATATACTATTACTCCATAATTTTCCTGTTACTAGGTACACGTAGATCGCTGTACTTAAATGAATTGGATAGAATAAAAATATTACGTTCTTATTTCTAATTAGTTTTACAAAAAGGATTATCTGCCTTTTTCGTTATAATTCCGTTGACCAGAATGCGTAAAAATTTGATATTCACATGGTACTTGTCTCGACCTGACATGCACTCTCCCTCCATATCCCTGTTCTTCTAACCCGTTAAATCCTTTAAATTCAAAGGATTTATTTTTACGAGGGTTCATTGCCACCTCTGAAACCTGTGACGTCTGCCCCTGGATTTTATCTGTCAAAATGACATTCGCTGTATTCTTATAGCCCAACAAGTCTAATATTACAAATGCATGTCGTTTAGAAATAATTAAATGGCTATGTAATATTATTACGTGTATGTGCTTTGTAGTACTGAATAATACTTTACTTTTGTTACGTATTATATTTACACAATTCGTATTGCTGGGTTGTATGTAAAGCAAGTGCATATATTCTATTATTAAAAAAAAATCACTAGGTTCTTAACTAGTCAATATAACAGTATAATATAATATTGTTGGCTTTAATGTGTTTTTAGACATTTAATAGAGTTTTAAATTCGATAGTGTATTATTTGTTCAAAACTATAAAAAGTTTGCAGTTATTTATTTTGATTTACTTTACATATTAGAAAAAATGTACAGTGATAAGCTTAAAATAAAAATAATTAGATTACATTTTTATTTGATATTTCATGTTAGATATTGAATATGTTGATATATTTGAAAATAGGTTGATTGTAGTAGTAGGGTCTGGACTGAATCATTTCATTTATTATGTAGTGTACTTGTATTATAGAATTCTTTATTATTTAAAATTCTAGTTCATACTTTGTAAAATAAAAAATCTCTTGACGAGTTGGAAGGTTTCTGGTGTGTCACAAAACTATTTGTTTATTTTATTTTTTGAGTTTTACTGGTTTATAAACTCGCAAACAATCAAGCTACGGTACAGTGGGTCGGCGCGGAAAATCAGATTTAACAAGCATGAATAGCTTTTAACCTTTCGAACTTCTAACCAGCTTTTCTTTACACTTGGTTCGCGTTGAATAAGTAAAATTCTTTCGGAACGCTCTCTGCTGCTCTCTTCTGAGAGTATACCTCCGTCTCCAATACACATTGTATTGTGATCGGAGAACTATTACAGCGGACTTTCTGGCGGCGTATTATTATGGTTGTAGAAATGACGATATTGCATCGCCTTTAGCGCCCCCCTTCCCTCATCCTTATCCACATGTGTATGCATATATATAGCTTCCATCACCTCGAGCTGGTATAATTAATCAAAAATGTTGTCGGAGGACAATGTGATGTCGAAAAGGAGAGGGGACGCCTTTGCTGTATTGTTATACAGGCATCGTTATGTGTAATTAATAATTCACACTTAATTAGTCAGAAGATATTCGGGTTGTGGTCAGAGAACCATTGAGAGGAGGGACACGTCGAACAATACTTGACGAAATTACGAGCTGCCTTCTCTCTGCTGCTTGACGACTTTTCATTTTAAGAGCGGCAACGAGAAAAGGGCCTTTCCCAAATTATTAGACGGTGTATAATAATTATTCAAAATCCGGTGTTGTGTGTGGCTAAGTTTTTGCGTGTTCGTTCGGACGTTAAGGATCGTTTATAAATTACTTTATCACTGCACATACACAAAGGAAGGCTGTCCACTGGCCTGCAAATGAGCGTGTGTGTGTGTTGTGGTGGTGGTATGATTAAACCGTTTCCTGCGAACGTTGAGCGAGAATGCAGGCAGCTATATCTTTTATCGGGTCGTGGTTACAATATAATAACGGACGATGAGATAATGCGAAAAAAAGGCGTCTCGTCGTTATTTGTCGTGGGCGTAAGCTGTATAATAATGATTTGTCTAATGAAAAATACATTATCATTTAGCTATATTTAACCACGTCGTATTAGATTTCATTTTAATCACTATTTTTACTGGATTAAATGCAGTTTATCGAATTTATACATTTTTGATTATACTAGTCTATACTTGTGTAAGAGCTTTCAATAATAATAAGAAATAAGCAAACCAACGGTGAGAGAAAATATAAAAATAGTCACTGTTCTGCGTACAAATTGTATGAATATATTGTTTTGTATATTATTATTATTAAACTGAAGTATAAAAACAAATCTGCGCACACATACAACGGTGTAGAAGTGAAACGGTGAGAGGGTAGCAAAGTACAGGCAATTGTCGTGCGACCGTGTCCTCGTAAACGACCGGAAATCTTTATTGGAAAACAGGAGCGGGTAAAGCTACACGTACATTTGTTTGATGGGTTTTCACCTACACCGCGTTCGTTGGCCGGGTTTATATACCGCTTCGGACTTGTGTCGACCGCAGCGTACCGCTCTCATCTTCGAAGGAAGGGTGCGCGGCGGTATGCCCTTATATACCACACTACACTAAAACCACGTTTTACACTACAGTATTCTATGTATATGTATAGGGAATATAACCATAATATATTATATATATATATGTGTGTGTGTGTTTATGTACTATATTACGGCTGTGTATATGCTATTACACCGCTTGCGCGCTTTCTCCATCCCTGTGGGGCGCAGTTCAGTATATAATGTTGACTGATGGCAGGCCGTCTTCTACATGTGTTGCTCTGCCATAGTAGTTGGCCTCCACCTCTGTCGCAGTTTTCGAAGCTCTGAAAGACGACGTCGTTGTCGTCATTGTCGATGGGTCACGCCGAAACTATGCGTATATATACAGGGCGCTCGCGAGATAGGGTGAAAAATGGTACCGAGGGGGACTCGTGGCGATCGTCCAGATGAATTGCCAGCTATCAAGGCTCGCCACTGATCGTAGTGCGTGTGTGTGTGTGTGTGTGTGCTAATGACGTTACACGCCGTCGCCACTCTGACCCTACCAACAAAACGTATCATTTCTCAAACGACCCGAAGCTACTGCCTCCCCATATCTACCTATACTTCTTGAGTTCCCCGTGTATGTTCAGCGCGAATGTGTATCTCATCTCCTGTGTACGAGAGAGCATTTTTCCAATTTTCTTTTTTTTTATTATCATTTCGAGCTTTAGTCATACGTGACCAACTTATGTGACTTAACCTAACTAACATTGGGCATTTTGATTAATAGACATGTATAGAAATACATATTTGAATGTTAAATTTTCAAAAAATTTATAAAAATGTATTTGACCCTAGTCCTTTTACAGAGTTACTACAGACCTTTCTTTCTACGTGACTACCAATTTTCTTTCTATTCCCATTAAATAAAAATGGTTATTTATTTATTTAATTGACATAACATATTATATGAAATCTCAAAGAAAAATATATTACGCAGTACATAACGCATAGTTCAATATTTTAATAAAATATATATTATATTAAAATTAGCGCTTTATGTCATTTGTAATACTCGTATTTATAGGCTATTATATTTTTTTAGAAAATTTGTATTTAAAAATACATTTTCTAAGATTTATTTTTGAGTTTGATTACAAATTGATATTTAGATATCCTGTACTTAACGTACTTTATTATATGTATGACTGTACAACTATATACGTTTACCTTTCCGACCTATTGAATTTTAATATTATGTAAGTGGATAGATAAATCCTACTGTAGAGTAGTAGTTTTACCTATATAATAATTAATATGTCTTGTTTATATTGTTTTGCTAAGTGTATTGAATATAATTCTTAGCTGTTATCGTACGTCAATTATATTTTTAAATTTGTTGTTTTATACTTTTAATATTTATGATAATATATCTATTATAGAAATTCATCTAAAGAACCAAGACCGCAATCAATCGTAAACGAAGCACTTCTCTGCAAAGAACATACTGGATTGTTATTTGAACCACCTTCGAATTTGTATTCGACTGAACAAAATCCGTAAGTAATAATGAGTTTATTAATTAGTAATATTAGTATATTTTATATTCTTATAAATATTAGTTGTGTTTTTTATTAAAAATGTCTACTATTGTTCAAATGCTAGGTATTCGTTAGTAGTAATAACGACTAAGTGTTTTCTCAATATTTATTAATTATAAAATTCAAGAAATATAAGTATTATTAATTTTTTTAGCAGCTCACAAATTATTATTATACTTTTATAACTTTATTGTTGTTTCTTCGTGTAATATTATATCTAGTCGTTTGAGTAAACAAAATATGACCTTATAGTAGGTTAGGTTAGGTGTTTCACTGTACCGTATACCTAATCGTTTTCTTAACTTGGTTTTATACATATTTATATACTAATTTTTTTAAATTTTTTTTTAAAAAAAAAGAATACATTTTTGGAGAATTCATAGTTCTTTTCTTGAAGAATGTACAAATGTATTAAAACATCTAATATGATATTGAAATAAAAATAACAAAAAAATGTTCGAATAAAAGTTTTTATACTTTTTTATATTGAAATATTTTAAAAAATTATCTTAAGTTTTAAATTTAAAAAATAATTGCGTGATTTATATATTATACACAATTCTGTGCCTTTGATTATAATAATAATATTTGATAATCGAATAATATTTTTTGTTTCATAAAATTAAAACTCTTCATTTTCAATTATAGAAGAAAACATAATCCAGAGTTTTTAAATTTAGCTAAAAATTATACGAAAGTCGACCCGTTACTGATTATTTATTTTTCATGAAGTGTTTAGTTCCTTTAAAAATAGCATAAATTTTATGTTAAGTTATTATAATATTATAGTTATTTAATGATTTTAGTATATATGGTGTGCTTAAGCTATTTATTTAACATTTTTTATTAAAACTAGAAAAAAGTAGAGAAGTGATGCAACTAAGTTTTCAAGAATGCACAATTTATATTTATCTTCAATATTTAGAGAGATAAAAACGTACATTTTTAGTAGTAAATTATGGTTGGTACTTAGATGGTCAAAAATAAAAAATTGGCGATACTTAATGCGTTTATCATTTAATAGCTAAAAATCAATTAAACACAGTATACAGTAATAAGATTCCTCATAAGTTCTGAATCTTTAAAATACATTTATTAAACAACTTTATTTTATTAGTCTTTGAAGTTCAAATTTAATTCAATGATTTTTCCAATAGATTTTAGTTATTTTGTTGGAATTTAAAAAATAAATATTAACCTTGCAAAAATATAAGTATTGTGCTAATAGTATTTATTACTTGTATATTATCATTTTCTTCACACGATTTTGATAATATTTTGACTAATTTTATGCTATATATTTGGAGGTACTTAAATATTCCACTTTTTTAGTTTATTTCAATATATATATATAATATTTATCATAATATGATTTTCTTCTGAGTGAATCTTTAAAATTTTTAACAAGCAAGGTTTATCTTAAGTTTCTAATTGTAATTAAAAAGGGTAGACAAGTAAGTTTCGTTTTGCGGCACAATAGGTGTTGAGTAGGTTACTATTATGGACTTAAATTCAATGATATACCTATTAGTGTATACAAACAACGTTTTTGAGCCTAAATAGTTTGTCAGCCTATATCATAAATTATATTTCACATGTTTTTTTTTTTTTTTTTTTTGATATACTTAACTGTTAAAGTTATTTAATTCATTTATGGTAGGTGGATATAAATTTGTCTGAAATATTGCATTTACTATATTATTAGTATTTAATTATTATAATAATATATATTTTTACCATATTATATTAATATATGTAACACTGAATTTATCAACATTTTTATTTAAATACCGTAAAGATAATATCAAAATATAAATCAAAAATATCAATACATATAGTAAAATTCATTTCAATATAATTTATGCATAAATTTAAGTCCATATATGAATAATGTTTTTATATTTTAATAAAATAATATTATTTATCGTTGAAATACGTAATTTAATCCAAATTTAAACTTCAAATGTATATAAATAAAATTGTGCATAATATGTATTTTTAATACTTTAATATAACTATAAGAACAATTTGTATGTGATTTTGTATTACATTTTCAAGAACTTTGATCCAACAAATATTTTTTAATCGTCATTCTTCGAACAAAAGTTTTAAAAAATTGAAAATTTCTGATGCCTTCAACCGATTTCTCTGTTTATTTTTAATGCAGAGCAGTCCAGAAAATAATATATAATAATAATTTAATCTTAATATATAGAAATAAAATTATGTTATTGGTTTAAATAGTGACATAAGTTTCATTACCTTTGTAATGTAAATTTATAAATGAAAAACGTACCTACTCTACACGATTGTGTTATGCTTTTTCAAAGAAAAATTAAATATTTAAAATATTTTTAAATTTTGTAAGTATGGCTTGAGAACCATCAGTAGCCTATATGATTGGTAATAATTTATTGATAAAATTGAAATAAGACGCTTGTTTAAAACCTAATACACAGCAGAGCGAATTCTTTAGTAATCTGTGTGTTTTTTAATGCGACAGTACTTTATATTTATATACCAACAACACGGTGATATCGTTCTTTCGAGTGGAAAACTGCGAAACTTTTGGTGTAAAAGTAGGAACTAGCGCGTGGTGTAGTTTCACCTTCCATTTTAGTAACTCTTCCACCATCGTCTTCACGATGACTGAACGACATTCTAACCAACAGAGCGATGTTGTGGTGTCAACTTCTACATTTCTCCACCCCAATTCACTCAAAACTCACCCCATTCGTTCCACAGGTTTTTGTTGTCTTCGATGCGATCAACTGTAGTTTTTAATTAATTAATTCTGTTCATCGTATTCACTCGACGGGTCAAGTTATTCGGTAAGTAAAAACCCACGTCGCTGCTATCGTCGTTGTTAGAGTAGTATAATATTATTATTATTACTAGAGCGTTGGGTAGAAAATTATATATTATAATATTTTCAGTCTGTTCAAAATGGTTTTTAATAGCTGGGCGGGTTGTCGTGCGTGTGCGTCTATATTTCTCGAAAGAAGGGGTACGGGGCGCAAAATAATCTTATTGGCTTCTGCGACCGCCGTTGTTTCTAGCGGATGTGCCGTAGTCCGGAGGAGAGGAATTTAACGTGACGGTGATTATGCAAATGTACACTGAGTGCCTGCCGTGGCGACTATGCAAATCGTCGTGCCCATAGGAGATGTGTTTTTGTCAGCTGCCGTCAGTATTTAACAAATTATCCAATTAATTAAGTATTATCGTCGTCACTGCAACCGCACCCTTCCTGTTTACGTGGGTGGGGCGAGTGTATCCTCGAGACCTCGACGCCGTGGTTGCCGTGTTTTGGTGGTTACACTGTCGTGGACGATGTGTGCCGTAATGAAGTTGGCCAATACATAATAATATAATATATTACATTTGAATGTTGCTACTCTTTTTAAATCCTTTTTTGTAAAATATACATTAGATTAATATATATATAGCCACATAAATAAAATAACTACCCGTTTGCTAAATTTATTTTTCTCGTGTAAATGAAACCTTTAGTGTGTACAGAAAATCACTTAAAGTTCATATTTTTTTTGTTTTTTTTTTTTATTCTGAGTAGAGCGATATATTAATTTAATAATATCTAAGTATAGATTTTACAATGATGTGTTTTATTTGTATATTTGTACATGATAAGTAGTCGATTTAATGTTTTGATTTTTAAAAATAGAAATAGTTTTGGTAGAAAACTGGATCTAGTTGGTACTTTAGGGGGTCAAAAGTAAAAAAAAAAAATAGTATAAAAGTAAATTTTTTAATCGGTAAAAACTGACGGATAAAAATTATAAAAAAACGGGGATTTTAGTATTAATTTAATTTAATTTAAACAAAAGAATATTTTCAATCTGTAATTTTTATACATATTAAGAAAATTTGATAAATAAAGAAAATAACATGAAAAACGCTAGAAGGGAGGTTCACTAGTGTTGAAACACTCAGACTTGGAGGATAGAGAAGTTTTTTTAGTTAATACAGTCGGGATTTAAAAGATCTCGTCACAAATATTTTTTTGATATACGTAGTAAGATATTTAATTTTTATAGGTGTTTGTAGTTGTAAGTAAAGACTATTTAAAATTTTAAGTCTTTGTGTAATGAGAAGTTTGAGGTGTATAATGACTCAGATATTTTTTGGCGAATAGAGATTGACTGGAAGGCCTGTGTGATATGTTTTTGGGAAGGTTTGGCATATCCCCGCATATATTTGGGGACCATAAGCCCAGATAGGTTTTAGCATTCAGTTATGTATTAATAATTTGTAGTTCATCAAGAACTGAACTTGAGAATGGAGCGTGATAGATGAAGTTTAGTGTTAGAATCACTCTTTTAGTATTTATGTATGTGTGAACTCCAAGTTAGACGCTTGTTTAAGATTAGACCTAGATATTTAGTTTGAATTGTTGTTGGGATTTGGTCATTTTGAAAGTAAATTTCAGGTAGGAAACCCTTTTTTTAGAAATAAAGGGATGTGAAATCATAAATTGTAAAGGACTTAATAAGGGATTTTTACACGATTGTTTTTTTTTGTGTAACTTGAGAACGAATAATTGTTTATTTACAATACAATTTTCAAAATATTTCAACTCTGTACTATTTATATAAGTTTCAGAAATTTTCAATTTTTAAAATTTTTTTTAAAGAATGTTAGTTAAAAATATTTGTTGGATCAAAGTTCTTGAAAATCTAATTCATGATTCTTCATAAATAATTCATACTGGAATCACAAAATATTAAAAATATACTAAGACAATTAATTTTTATTTATGTTTAAATTAAAATGTAGACGAAATTATGTATTTAGAGATACATAATATTATTTTGTTGTAATAAAAAAATATTTTTCTCAGGAACTTAAAAAACGTATGCACATTATATTACAAATTTTAGTAAAAGCAATGAAATTTTTGATTTCTTTTAAAATTTTATCTATTTATACTAGTATTATATTTTTACTGTTTTAGGTATTTACAGATAGATGATATTAAATTTTGAGCCATCTTTTTTAATACTGAAAGTAAAATGAATGACTTAAATAGTTACAGTAAAAATATATTACGATATATACTTAGTGATTGAGGTTGACCAGTATTTTCTCAGGATCGTTTTTCGTTTACATTGATTGGTATTATCATTGAATTGAAATTTTAACACAATAATAATAATGATCCATTCTGCACCTTATGTACTGCAGAGTTTAGGTATTTTTGTTTTTTGTATTTATTCACTTTTCAAATTGTTATTAACTTATTCTTTATTAGTTAATAGACTTTTTCTTTTTGGTTTTAAGATTAATATACTTATTTGTTAACAATTTTCTTTTAAATTGTCAACAAATTATACTATATAATTATTTTTTTTAATAAGCCACAATAATATACTATATTTTTTTTTTTTACTATATTAGTTAAATATTAGTTGATGGTAAAATGCCTTTTAAATTAATTATAAAAATCTAAAATAATTCGTTAAAAATATATTTAAATTGTTGTGCCTAATTCATATAATATTTTTTTGATTAAATTAATTTTGTTTTTAGTTTTTTTTTCTTAATTTTGTGTTTTAATTTTTTTTTTTCAAGTTAATTAACATTTTAAAATCATATGAGCTCATTCACTATAGTCTTTATTACGTAATAATATAACAACATAATTTTTACAATCTAAATCTAATAAAAAATTATAAAATCTGTATTTCAGAATAGCATTATTAACTAAAGAAGAATGGTCGATTCTTTCACGATGTTATGCAGCTGATTATGGAGTATACTTGTACTTTGGTGAACTTGGAATATTTACAACATCGAAACCAGGTAATTTATTAAATTTCTGATACAATTATTTCTACAAATTTTTAGTTGATAATTGGGTGTGATTAAGTTATTTAAATTGTTGTTTCATATTCATTTCATTTATAAATTTAGCTTAATAAATAATTTATTTTAAAGTTTTGAGTTTTAAACACAGTGTAAATATATACATTTATTACTAGTTTGTTGCTTATTCAATACATCATAATATTTCACATTACATTTTATTCTAATGTACATCGAAACAAGTATTTATAAAATTCCATTAATATAAATTTAGTAAAATAAAAATATTTAAAAATTCATTCTTCAAATCCTTGTATGTAAATTATTATAAACTAACTGTATTACATAAAACTAATTGGACTTAGTTCTATTTAAAAATAATGTCTTAAATATTTTATTGTATTATTATTTTTGAAGTAGCTACCACCAATCATTAAAATCTCTTTTTAATAACTTAAATTTATAATACTCGTTAGGTTTGTTAATTTTAATGTAAAAGTGATATTGTAACACTGTTTTGGTTTTTATTGTCTTTTCCCTCATTTTTCATATTATGTAAGTAAACAACACTAGAGGTTCGAGGTAAGCTGATTGTCGGCTTACCTGTAATACTACCCTATAAGGTTGTCTTTCATATCGTGAGTATTGTTCTTTGAGTTAATTTTATCTCAAAATATAGTTAGGTATAACACAAAAATAAAGTTAAAACTTAATTTTTTTTAATTTTTATTAATAAGTAGTAAGTAAGGTACGTACAATAAAATTATATTGGTAATAGAAGCAGGTATTTATAAAATTTGCTATATAGTATTATTTTAGTAATCATACAGTTTTAAAACTAATAAGAATTGTATGTTTCATTTATAAATTCATGGAAAAATTAGTTTCTAGAATTTTGTATTTTTATAAGTTTATACTATAAATATAAAACATTAAATTATCTCAAACAAAGTTATATTCTACATAAAGCTTAAATAATGTATCTGTTTTTCGAAACCTAACAAGTATATGATGGGGGTTTTCTGTTAGAAATTTTTGTTATTTCTACTAGTATGCACTCTTTTTTTATTCATTGAAAGAATCTAGTCAAACCTATTTCAAAAAAAAAAAAAAAAAGAAAAGAAAATATATGTTTATTGGTTAGCATAGTAAAACTTTAAATTTTACAGTTTTTTTTTTCTTCTTAAATCTATTGCCATTAGCAAATTAGTTTAATTTATTAAGAATAGCAGCCAAAGCAAGATGCCCAACGTGCGAGGTAATGTATTTTCATTTGGAACGGTCCCAGAGGAACCCGAAACTTTGGTCCGAGCGCTTCCTTCTATCGTTTTTTCTCACTACTCTCATTGGACTGGCTCTGTTTTTGCGCCTCGGAATTAATATCGCGCTTTTGTCCCGCCCGCCGAATCCCCGCAGCTTGACTCGAATTTCAATTCCGAATCGGAGGAGGTCATCTTTCTCTCTACACACATATACATATTATACACATGACTAACATAATACACGCAGTGGCAAGAAACTAATTCATTTAAGGGATACGTGGAGTGGTAATGTTTGTATGTATGGTATTGCGCGTGTGAGAAACGTGATGGGAATGCTTGTAAATCATTAAAAGGTCACCTTTGGCTGCACCAAGGGGGTTCTGTAGACGTTATAGCCGGACCCTGTTATCTGGGCCGAAGGCATTGATCATGTTTGTGGTGAATCCAATTAAAGATATGGAACAAGAAATCACAGTTTGTGTTCCAAACAGGGTTGTATATTAATCGGGTCCAAGGACCATTTCACCCTTTGCTCCCTCAGTGTGTAGCCGTGTCACGGAGCCGTTAAATCATTCGTAATGTGGCGATTCTAAACTATACATGTGCATAGTATTTATGTCGTGGTTGTCGGTGAAGGGAAATGAGAGCCCACAGACAAAAAAAAAACTTAATTTGATTCATAGCCATTTCGGGTTATACGAGACCTATCAGCTATAGTGTTTGATTATAATAATTTCCATTGAGTAATGTACTAGCTGTTATAATGATATTCAAATTATTATTATTATTATTAATTACTAATATTGTGCGAATTGAAATATTATTGTTATAAGTTCGCATAAACATGTTACTAAAGATTTTTTTTTTTAAACAAATATTGGTTTTTTGGTAAATTTTCAGAACTATAAAAAAAAATACCTACATGTATAATACGCGTATACCTCCTACATGTTTATTAATTTGACAAAGATTATTATAGAGGTAATGTTTTTCTTTTTAAAAATTGTGTAACTATAGTAATAATATTATGTAGGCTAATTTTGTTTTGTTGAAATTTTTGACTAAATAGAAAAATGTATTAATATCGTCGTTGAAATTTGGAGAGACATGGTGTTCTTACGGAAAAGGGTTAATATCACCCCCTCCCTTCCACCCGTATAAAGTAGTTAAATGAAGCGTGTTTTGTTAGTGGTCAGCGAATTGCAGATAACCGAATGTGCGGTTCGGTTCATTTGATACAGTCGTTTAAATATAATCCATTGAAAAGGGAAACCCTCTTACTTCGTCCATAGGAATATGATGTAAAACAAACGTAACGCCGAGAAATCAATTTGGATTTCTTGACTTACCAGTTTTTTCTTTCCTTTTTTTTCACCCTATATAAAAAGACCATCAGTTTAATAGTCGTTCAATATGTTTAACGACCAGTTGGGAAATCCAGGAAACCTCTTTTACCTCCCCCTTCACCACTAAAAACGGTCGTTAAGTATTGGTTTTTTTTCAGACAAACCTTTTTTCTCCCCTGGACACAAGCAGGTTGAAACGAGGTCCCGACGTGGTTTAATAAATGACAAGGCATTTGTCGCGCTTTTATCCCACTCTGTGCAAAAGGGATAGCTCATCTTGGGACAGGACCCAACGATAATTTGAATCGCCCTAAAATGAGAGAAAAAAGTACTAATGACGCGTTTTTAAAGATTAATATATGAAAATATATGTAGAATTTAATTTTAATTTTTTTTTTTTTTTGTTAAGGTTGTGTAGAAACTATCATTAATAACCTTACTCGTTACCTTGTTAAATGAAAAATTTAACGTTTTGTTATAGAAATATGTGTGCCGTGCCGTCAGAGAAGACTGGATGAAGAAAAAAAAGAACAGTTGAAGTATAATAAAGCAAAAATTTTTATTAAAGTGATCGAAAAAGAATCACATGAAAATAGATTCAACGGAATTGATGACAAGGTAAAAATAAAATAAAATTATAGTGTTATAGTATAAGTTTAATAATTACTAAAGAAATTATGTGTGAAAAATATTATGATTTGATACATATACATTTCTATTTGTTTTCTTCGTTGAAATTTGGAATATTTATGCATATTAGTACTTAAAAATTAAATTATTAAATTAATATTATATATTATTATACCTTCAATATTGTTTTTGTAAAAATAACTGTTAAAATAATATCAAAAATTTAGAAACGAAATTCAGTTGCGTTTATTCTACGGTTTTCGAATAATTTATCAGGTAATATTAAGTTTTACTGATAGTGTAATACAATATAAAATATATGATAAAAAATGATAACATACGAGTACAAAAACACATAATATTATATTGATATAGCGGTATTATTGTTTATAAAAAAGCTTATTTTTTTATTGATTCAATTGATAGATATCATTCGTACATTTTAATCAGACTGGTGTTCTCTACCTTAGCAAAATGATAAAGTTGAGTTGTCCAAAGAAATAAACAGATAAAATGGTCTTAAAAAAGAAAAAAACGAGCTAGTTTAATTTATATATATATATATAAATTATAGTGGCTCGAGCCAAACATCACCGCCGCCGGTATCTACCCTATCTATATAGCGTAATTGGTGATCGTAAAACTCGATAATTTTCTCGTGAGAGCGGCAAAAAGACTGAGAGATGTGCGGAAAGACATTATAATAATAGGACTCCTCTCTCGGCCGTAGACACTGATGGTGAATATTCTGGTAATAAAGCCATCGCGCCAAAGATGCATGCACTATTATATTGTATAAAGAGACTGCTGCTATACCATTCACGCTTGTAATCATGTGCCAAATCGTAAACTTCCCATTTACACACACATATATATACACTAAGACCTTAACTGTAGTATTATAATTACCTGAACTCCGGCAAACAAATCAGAACAAGTACAATAAAGTCAGATGGTAAACCCCACCGGAGCGCCGGGAACAAGGACGGGAAAAACGAATAAAAAAAACCAAATATAAATATAAAATACATCCTCTAGGCGTATGTGTACGCGTCTGGACCGTCAAAATAATTACTGTTGTGGTTTACGACCTCGTGCTCAGGTGGAGGCTGTACACACTGGAGGGTTTTCATGCACTCGTGGAGATCTGTTCGATTTTTTATTTTTATTCTCCTTCATTTGTTTGTTGCTCATTTTTTACACTTAGGCTGAGGTCAATATTATTACGCAAAGTGGTCCGATTTACGTTTGCCACAGGTAATGAGTAGTAGGCATAATAGTAATAACATTAATAATTTTTACTTGACAATTAATTATAATAGCAACGTTTGTTTAAAAAATAAAAAAGAATCACACATGTAATTATTGTTTCAGTTATTTAAAATCTAACTTAAATTAAAAATATATTTAAGTTTATATAGGCAGTACTTAGTTATCACGAAAAAAAGAAGAAAACTGTTCGGAGATTGACATTATTTATATTGAAAATTCTCGTTATTGTAATTGTTCGTACATAACTTAAACATTGTTTTCATCAATTTACAAAAAAATAAAATAAATTTATAAATAACTTACAAAAATGCCTTGCGTGTTTAATGACATTTTAATAGTAAGTTATCGTGTTTGATGTATTTATCGATGTATTTCTTCTTTATCGAATATTATCAATGAATTACAAAAGATTATAACATTTCTCGTTTTGGTATTCATTTAAAATCGTTATCTTGTATCCATTTACCTAAATTAGTTTTATTAGCAACAGCTGACTGCTAATTTTTTCAACGTAATAATAATTTATAGTTAATTTCATAACTCGTTTTGATTCTCGGATGGCTATTTTTTTCAGTTCTTCATTCGTTGTCTTACATAAAATATACAGAAATACATGTTTTTAGTTTAATTTATTCAGTTATTATGTTGTGTAATTTTATTTATAATGCTAATCGTTATTACTTAAATGTTAAAGTAAAAATACAAATTGTTCAATTTTATTCTTATATTATGTATTTATGTAAACTATTTGCGGAATGTGGATATTTTCATAGTTTATTTAAATGTATTATGTATATGCTAATGAATTTTAATTTTAAATCAAAAACAAATTAAATATTGTTTTCAATTTTTATAAAAATATTACCTCAGAATGAAAATTATCGAGTTTATCTTAAGTAATATAATATATTATAGTTTGTTTACGGTTGTGTAGATAGTTTTAAACGATTTACTCTATAGTGCATCGACACCTGCTGTTTGTATCTGATGTATAGAGTTTTTAGGTTTACACTAGTGAAAATTATAAGTTTGAAACAAGAACATTGGCATTCTCGATGACGTTTAAATATTTTCTTTAGGTACCTATATAATAATTATAATTTATGTACCCACCGTATATTCATATATTTATTATAAGGTGTTATTTGTTGCTATTCACTGATTTCTACGTATACTTACAGTGTCTAATTTCTGTTCGTTTTTTTTCTTTTTGTTTAAAGACTAGCTAACTTGCCACGTAGCCATAAAATATCGATACAGATTCCCCCAATTAAGCTTTAAACAAAATAAATACTACTGAAACGTAGTAATTAACCCATAGGTTTTGTACATTTAATCGTTTAGTTGGGTGAAAAATAATCGTTCTAATAAAATGTATAAATCCTATTGCTGAGGTAGAAGCAGCACCAGCAGTATCTTTTTGATATCGGTCGGGTCGTGTTGCTTGCGGCTATATACGCCTTCCGAGTTCTGTATTGGATAGAGTTAATAATTAATTGTGTGTATGTGTGTGTGCATATATACATATAATATATATATAAAATTATAATGTTATGATGAGAATATTTTTTATGCAAGTTCCTGTAAAATCTCATGTTGTAAATTTTCATTATTTTTTTACACTCCATTTATACATCTGATAATAAACAGGAACAGAAGCAGAAAATCTTTTTTTCTCACAGCGATTAAAATTTGCTATTTAAACAATTTTTTTTTTTTGGTGTTATGTTTGTTTTGGAATGTATTTAATATTTATATTTGTTGTGTACACTTAATATATAATCCACAGAATATTGATGTGGTGTAGTTCAAGTACAAATTAAAGAGCTGATACCTAGTACCGTCATTTTAATTAGGTTTTAATTTTACCTACACCGTTCCAAGATTAAAATACCTTTTGTTATTCAGTGGATGATGAAAGATGTTTTATCGACTTGAATAACTTTTGATAGTTATTGAAATATTGTGTAAGAATTAATCAATATGCTTAAAGCTATTGAATAGATCCAATTTGCTCACAATTAATTGATACACCGTAATAATCGTAGTATTTATATAGTTTCTGAGTATGTTAATAATTGTTTTTACACGTGCGTGAATAAATCAAATGCACGTATAATTTCTAGTAATTTAAAAAGTAAACATGATGGGAAGGAAAAATGAAGCGATAAATGTATTTTTCATCATTTTAACTACCTACCTGTTGCTACCGTGTTTGATTTATTATCAATAAGTGTTGGATAGGTATAGATGAGAGATAAAATAATAACGCGTACATACTTATATATACAATAGCTGCTGTAAGATTACAGAATAATCGTTAATTACATAAAAATATACTCTTCAATGATTTCTTATTTGTTAAAGTAGACTATCGTAGTATAAGTAATTGTTTTTCGTTTTGGATATCTAAGTAGTAATTTTCAGTATTTTCATCTTAATGCTGTTTCCTGTCCATGTTTGTGTGTGTGTGTGTGTGTGTGTGTGTCAGCGGTGTATGTTATAAATTGTCTGTCATTTTACTGGTACTAGCGAATAATCGAAAGGGTCTGATACAAAGGCACATACCGTAATAATTAGGAATGTGTCGTGTGTATGTATAATATACTGATAGGGCGTGATTTTATCTCGACTCGTAAAATACGACTGTATACGACTTTATTACCGACCCGTGTATTCATATATTACCCCCTATAACTTTGTCATATTGCTGCACCGGTGACGTGTCAGTATACATGAGATATATACGTATATTATACACATAGATGTATTATTTGCATACCAACTGCAGCTTTGGAAAACAGTTTCAAGATGTTTTTGTATCACCGAATGATATTTAAAATACTAAATTGTGCGTTTGGTTTGTAGGATGAATTATGGGGCAACTGTTCGAAGAAAATTAAACTGGATACGGCGTGTGTTAACGGCGGTACTAGTGGCTCGACAACGACCGCTGCTCCCACGTACGTCAACAACGGCACATTAGAGTTGGGAATCAGAAGGAGTGCACGAAACCGAAGACCTAGGGGTGAACTGATCGTGGTTTCTTCAAATGACACGTTGCTTGATCTCAAAATGAAAGTAAGTTGGTTTTGATAACTCCGTATTGTTGTATTTTTCGTTGCATACTGTTCGTTTGTTTTTGTATAATTATGTAAACTTCTAAAACTTTTCGTCGTGTATAGTTACAACGGTACTGAAATGAAATTGAGTTTAGTCAACCGTACACTTATGGTAGGCGTATATAAAGAAAAAAAAAATCATCAATCGTTTAAAATGTTTGTAGCAGATAATAATAATAATAATTTAAGAGAAATCACATATTTTGTTTTGCTATACCATTAACAGGTAGTTAAAACCCCTAGTCGACTAGATCTATCCAAGAATGACCGTTATCGAATCACCACGCTCATTGGCTGAGATACCAAAACATTGTGTATACATTATCTAAATAACGTGCGTAAAAATAATAAGCAAACAGTCATTTTTGACAATACAGTGACATTATGATCATTTAAAATTGATATTTTTTGACAAGTTTATTATTATCTATTAAATATATTTGCATTTTGATAATATATAAATAATAGAATATATTATATGTATTTGAATTGTAACATTTTCTTTATAACATTTAGTAATAGGTATTTATTAAAAATCTTATTTTCTCGAAAGAAAATTAAGTGATCATAATATGATTTAAATGATGTATTCTATAATTTATTTTAACAAGTGCACTTATAGTATACCATGCGCAGAATAAAAACTTAGAAAAGTAACATTAGGCCTTAAAGTTCAAGGTTTTCTGTTGTTATTTTTTTACAGTGACTAAAAAATTTGTTTTAATGTATCTACAACGTGTAACGTTTTATAAGAAAAATGGATACATTTTACTCATTTTATAATAAAATAATTGATTATTAGTTATTACTATTATTATCAAACTAAATGTACACTTGTGAGTTGTGGTGATGAGTTATTTTTTTACCTGTTAATGATTTTCAATCATAGAAAATGTATTACATCTATATATGCGTGTAAGTGGTATATTTTATAATTAAATTTGACAAGAGTAATTGAACGAGATTGGTTTAAAGTTTTGACAATAGAATATTAGTTTTATAAAATTTTAAAAATTGTAACAATATTTTTTTAAATATAATTACTTCTATACATTATAATATAATACGTAATAAAAAATCAAAATAAAGCACTTTCATTTTCTATGAATATACAATAAACCTAACACACGTCATTAATTAATATTTATTAAAGAAAGTCTTGATATTTTGTGTGAAAACAACTCATATTATGAAAATTATCAAGAAATCCAAATAATATTTAAGAATTTCTAATGAATATATTTTATTAAAAGTTTGCTTACAAAATTTGAATTTTACTAAAATGTACATTATGCTTGCAGGTAACAACATCTATAATCTATATTATACATTCAAACATAGTAATTTTGGAAAGATTAGAATGAATGCCAACACTGACATATGTTATCTAGAACTTAGTCCTTGGTTATTATATTAGACGTATATTCACACACTTCAACCCATCTCATCTTCACTGTTTTCTCAGTAGTCAGTTGGTTAAAACTTGACAGCTTTGAACATTTCAAAACTTCAGGCTAGCTTAATGTAATTGTGCTGTAGAATCCTGTCGGAGACTTGTTCGCATATGTGCGTAGCTGACATTTCTAAAGTCAATAATATTATTGTTTAAACTTTGCCCAAATGTGGTTTAATTTTTGTTTTTACGGATTTTATTGTTACAGATAGGTATTTTTTGAGTTGCCCATGCCTTATATATATACGATAAATATGTTATAGACTTCGTCAAACATAAAACTATTTATTGAAACGCTGAATAGATTTAAATGTCTTAAAGCTACAAGGCCGTAATAATTATTACGGTTTTTAAAATTTAAAGGCGCGACGCGAGAATAATATAATATAATATGTATATATTACACATATTAATATTATTGTGGGAGGTATATATGGCCCGTGTGCGGATGGCTTTATATATTATAAATATTCTTTATGTGTGCTCGGCCAACCCACAATAGCCGAAGTCGTCGTGGTGAATATTTATATTATTATTGTGTTGTTATCCTATACTATATATTGAGTCATTAAAAACACGGGGCGAACTCGTGTAGACTGCAGCTAGAGCATGCTACAGTACGCTCCGGGGCAGAATATTTCGCGACGCGCTGGTGGCGTTTAACTGCCGCCGCCGCAATCTCGGTTTTTTATGTTGATTTTCCCTTCCTCATCCACTACCACCTCTACTACATAACCTCGACCAAAAGAATTGTTTTTTACGACACGCACTTATTATTAGTGGCTTAGAATGGTAAATGGAAAACACGAGAAACGTAACTACTTTAATGCGACCGCAGTAATTACCGTGCCAAAAAGAATGCTTAATTATATTATCGACTAGAACCGAATGATATTATTTGATTATCTGTTGTCAATATTAACCACAGACCGAGTGTTTATTAAACATTGTAATATTTATTTCAAAATGTATAACAGTCCTCAGTTGACAGATTGCTGGCAAATGATTATAATTATTGTATTCGAATAAAAACGTAGTTTCTTACTTGATACGAGAATAAATGATAAATTGAGTTTAAGTTCTTACTTTATATTTATAGAATACATATTATGTCGATAGTAATATTATAAAATAATATCTACCGTATTATGTGACATAGGTACATTATATTATTACCTATATATATTACTTAAAATATAAACGCGCTGTGAATGTAACGATTTAACTTTTAAATTCTGATATATTAAAATAGACACTATTTAAATTAAACATTACGAGTATATTGTAATTAACTAAAAGGCCTCAGCCAGGTGTAATATGAAAAGAATATATCTATTATCTAATATATATTATATCTAATATATTTTTAAACGAAACTGTTTTTGTTGACTACAACAATATTACATTATCTAAAGAATTTTTTCAAATATTGATTATTAATCGTGTTTTTGGGACTTAATTTAGCATTAATTTATCTTATAATTAAACTTAAACTAAAAAATTGTGATTTAAATTACTTGAAGTATAATATTGTAAGTTAATATACCTATTTGATAAGAAATTAAAATCTTTGGAAAAGTGTATATTGCTAGCCCAACTTAATATATAGTTAGATTGAATAGTATCTATTTCGTTAAATTATTCACGATTGTGTTTAGTTTAAATAGATCAAATATAATTTAAAATCGATTTTAATCGTTTCTAATATTTACAAAGACGTTAACTGTAATTACTTTGCTTGGACCGTCTTAATTGGTATAATTTATAAGAACGTTATCAACTGAACTGGTAATCCACCGGAGACAAATCCGTTTGAGGGATGCAAATGTCGAGCGAGCAAACAGTAATAGTGTTAGGAGGGTGTGTAGTATGTGTATTTAAGCGCCGAATTCGTTATCATAACTGCTGCTGCAACTGCTCGGACCCTTAGTAGTTGACTGTTGAGAGAGGATCGGGGGAAGTGGAAATATTAATGACGTCAGGCTGGACCAAAGGACGACAAAAAACAGTTTACCGTTCTATTATTAATCTAGAACATTCAGATGAAGGTTAGGAGAGGGTTAAATGACCGTAAGTGCTGGCCCCGACAGCAAAACCCCCTAAGGCCGAGTAGCTTTTTACTGCGAAGAAGTCACCCTTTCCTTCTATCTCACCCTCTCGCTCTTACCAATGCACCGTCTCGTCCCTCTTCTATCCAATCTCTACTCGGTATATCTTTAATCATAATTCAAAGGTTTTACACACAGTGTGTATATTGTATATACGAGAGAGTGTATCGGACACCGGGCGGACGTGATTAACTGTTCTGCGAAATTGTAACTGTGTGTTAGAGTGTGAACTTTACCCGAGAGAACTTTCTCACCCTCTGAGCTAAATTGGCTGGACATTGGATAACTCTAAACCCTTTTTCTTTTTTTTGCTTATAAACTTGACGCAACATACTAAACTTATTCATTCGATTTTTTTCCACTATAACGTTTTGTTAGACGTTTTAATCATTGTCGTGTGAACTTTTTCAAATGTCATATTTCGTATGTTGTTCGGTTGGCCATGAATGTATTCATGTGTTTTTTTATTCTATGATGGCAATTATTTAACTGTAAGTTCGTAACAATAAAATATAGTTACTGAGAAAATATACTGTTCAGAGTTAGCTTAGCACCTGCAATCGTTTAATTGCTGACATTGATTGACTGATAATTTTGAAATAAAAATCCATAGACGTTCTCTAGTCCTACCCAAGAATTATTTTAATTGCACCCCATCAGTATAAACATAACCTTTTGTCTGAACTAGCTGTCGGATAAATGACATCCACCAAATCTGTATACTGTCTAAACAAATATCAATTGAGTAAGAATACGGATTACTGTAAGTTTTATTAGTAATTTTTTTTTACATATAAAATGATCTTATTTTCTTTAATTTCATTACAAAAAACATATAAAAAAGTATATTATAGGTCATACAATTATTGAAATTATATTTTATCTTATCTAAGTACTTATAATGATTGTTATATATAAAAAAAAAAAACTATCTTTTTATTACTTCTCATACTGTTATAATTTTTTTAAGTTTATTTAAATCAATTGCGTTCAGTATCATATCATTTTCTTATGCAGTATAGTATTGTTAAATATTAAAATATAGATAAACATAACAAGGATGTATTGATGCATTTTTTTAATCACATTTTAAAATAAACTGTAGAACGATTTTATTAACGGTGATTAAAATGTTGATAATTTGTGTTCACAGATCATGGGCGCATTCAACGTCATGCCCAATGATCAGCATCTGAAAACAGCTGAAGGTGTTAGGTTGGATGATAATGAAGCTACATTGGCTGACTTAGAAATTCTTCCAGATACATTAATTTTAGCAAAGGTAAGCAAAATTCATTAATTAATTAGAAATATTTTTATTTAAACTTTATAATTAAGATAAATTTAGTAAGATAACACAATTTGATAATTATATAATGAACTATAAATATGTGTTAGTAGTTGTTATTAAAATTACATAATTATGAAAATCTTTAAATAACATCTTTACAGTATCACATAGTTTCAATAACGGCAATAATCTATTAAAAATATGTCTGACAAAACTTTTTTTAAATTAAATATCGATAAAAATATGATTTTTTTTATTGATTTACTATTTTTTAAATGCATAAATTATTCTTAGTTTATTTAATTATTCAATAATAACAAATGTTAATACGCATTACTCTAAGATAGTTAATATTAATTATTTATTCAAAATACTAAATAGGTAAATATAATATAAATAACTATTGAGTGATACAAATGTGGTTATGATTTAAACTGAAATATTGCCAACATTTAAATCAGTATCTGGGATATGAGTAAATAATGATTTCTCTGTGTAATGTCTGCGGTTTGAGAATAATCGGAATATATTTTATAAAGTATTTTTTTTAAAGATTTCCCGGTAAAGTGAATGGTTGCCACAGATAGAGTTAAGCTTTCAAACTGACCAAGAAAATTACTGTATTTATTAACCTTTCTGCTCCTTAAATATTGACATTGATTTATTTGTCCTGTAAAATATCAGTATTTTTTTTTCTATATATATACCTATAACAAACCTAGTATCAAATAAACTCCAACCATTCTTGTTGTAATACTTAACTAGAAACGATCTTAAATATTTCGTAAATATCAAACAATTATTATCGTAAGCATATCACACATACAAACATCATCATTATTCACGAAATTTAAAATATGAAATCATTTAACTTATCTATTCATAAAAACTTTAGGAAACACACTTAATGAGTATACTATTTTCCTGGATTCTATATCTGTTTAATTAATTAGTTAAAAGTTATTTAACATTTTTAACTAATAATTTTATGCTATATTCTATGCAATACGTATAAATATATTTCCATTTTATATAACAAAATTTAACGAAATATGCTCAAAATGTCATTCTGTTTAAAGTTTAAATAATTATAATGAAATGTAGTAGAAGTATTATCGCTCTCAGTTTAGCGATATCATAATAATAATACAATAAAAAAAAATATCGAAATGTGTTATCAAATACAATTTATAGATAAGTATAAGGAACGTGACTGTGGTAGTTGCGTGAAATATTTAAATGCGATTCAATTAAATTATTAACACAGTGCATCTTGAAGTTTGGTTAAAAAAAAATCAATTATATTTAATGTGTAGCAGCCGCCGTAACAAAAATCAAGATGGAGTGACATAACGTTTATTGTGATTATATTATTTTTATAAGGAGTTGGAAACATAGTAAGTTTATTCAAGTCTAAAATTCTAGTAAGTCCGTCGACGTGATACAAAGTTTAAAAGACTATAAAATAATAATATTTAAGTTGTTTTCGGATCGTTTGTCTAGAAATAACTTTTTTTTTTGTACTCTTACATGCGTTAAAAATCAGTTGCGGTACACCACCGCCATTTATCGTGCATACCGATTTTATTATAATGAATGACTTGCACGTCAAATGATTCGTGAACACCACACTCCGGCAATTCACCTGCACACCCTTAAGCATACAGTGCTATTACGTCTTTTAATAAATATTCAATAGTCCGGGTATTGCAGATGATGTGTATTGTTTTGAAACAAAAAAAAAAGTTTAAGGTAGATTATGTCCATGGCTACTAACATATAATAACGAATGAGTTGATCTGTCGGCAGCTGAATTGAATGGGTTCCGATTGAAATAAACTATTTACTTAGGATTTTTTTTTTTCTTCGACTGCGACGCGTTTTCGTCTTCCGTTATTTTTTCTGTGTACCTACTGAAACGCGATCGTGTCTGGTACCCGAGACACGTGCTCCGTGAATTACCAGGTTAGTTTTTTTTTCATTCGTCTCCGAAATCCCCGAGCATAATAATTGCCCGGTGCTCCATTTACTTTGGTGTAAGTGTTTTTTCCTTCCAATCATTCTACTACTGGTCGGCCATCACCTGCCTTTAACAAACAATAATAATTCGTGGCATTTAGCTTCCTTTTTTTCATCATTCATATCAAAATTTATGTATTCAAATTATATACATTAATTTGTTTACACTGTCATTGGTCGACAAGTATCTTATTATAAATTATAATATCATATAATTGATATTTTACATATTCCTCCAAACATTTATAAAAAAAAACCTATCCAAGCCAACAATCTGTTTTTTAAAAAGTTACCTACTTGCCGTGAAATATTATGTTAGTAATACATAAATATTTTTTAAATTTTCACATTGATTAATACGTTTTTATAAATGTTTATTACCTAAATAGATTTCATATTATTTATCAATTTGCATATTTCAAATTTTTCTAGTTTGTTTCTGGTCAGATAAACTCATAAATGGCTGTTTAAAATGTCAACATGAAAATTGGTTAAAATTAAAAACATTATTATACAGTGCAATTTTTATTAAATTTTAACAGAAAAATCAAATGTACAGAAGACCGTATACAAAACCATCAAGAACTATGATTTTGACGTTAATGACCTGATCGCGAGAACTTCATAAAATATTTTGACGTCTTTATATATACTGTGACGTATTTCATGTCTTCTGGGACGCTTTGAGGGTCCGACGAACGACGGGGACAGTAACCTATGACTATAATATGCACGTGATGAGGAGGTTAAGGGGACAATGGCCTTTTTTTCGTATAAGAAGGTATACGCGCGCGTGTGTTTGCGGAATACTGTATACCGCGTAACGGGTTGACACCACATGCAACATAGGGCGCTTTCGCTCTCCCGAATAAACTATCTCTCTCTCTATGTATATAATACATATATATATATATCAGCAGTTTGATCCCGAAAAACGGTACATGTGCGTCCAGACCTCCAGGCTCGTTCCCACGACGTCGACTTGTCACCCATGTATATATATATATATATATATATATACATGCATTTACACATGTGCCGTCGCTATCGTGATAATATATGAAGTGTAGAATACAAAACCGTTCACGCATCGGCGCCATGTGTATGGCGTGCGTATATATACCCCTCTGAGTGTGTGTATACTGCCTACCGAAAGTGAGGCGCAATGATAATATTTAATTATAATATTGGATGAAAAAAAATAAATAAAAAAATTACTTAACAACAACCCTTAGACTGCTAGGGTAATTCGTCTAATGGGTTAATGAAATGATGACTTTACACCACCCACGAGAGGTGTGCTCGCGTGGTGGTTTCTTCTTAAACGTTTTTTCCATCATCTGTATAATAATAATATAGTTTCCCTCAACGGTTTGTATGGAATATTAAATTGGTCGTATCTAATTGAAAATTATTTAAATTGTCGTTTTTTTCTATTCATAATAATATGATGTTATCATCGCATCCCATGCGCCGCCAGAGCAAAGAGACCACACATACGCAATATTATATTATAGTCTACTGCAGTATTGGAATTATAAATCACTGTATGGAAAGACTTTATTTTATTAATAGGTTTGCAAAAAAATATTATTTATGTATTGTTTCTCTAATATAAATCACCATGTAAATTGAATTTATAATTTATATTTACGTACTCTATCCTTGTTTAAATAGGTAAAATGGTAATTATTAATAATATAAATTAGATATTGATGATTTACAGAGATCTGGATTTTTTAATTTTTGTATTCTGATCAGTAAATCAGTTATACATCGTAACACGTAAATATATTACAAGAGCAATAAAACGTGTTAAATATTATTATTATTTTTTTTTTCTATATAATATATGATATTAAATAGAGTTAGTTGAAGTACATACGTTTTTTTCTTATGTATTGATCATTTGATATTAATTTTTATATTTCCTATTTTATTGTCTTATAGTATGAAGTATGAACTAACCTAAACATTATTGATCAAGCCATTATTTTGAATTTAATAGTGCTTATAATTTGTTTATATCTTAGTATTATATAATTGTAATATATATATATATATAAACAATTTTTTAAGTGTATGTATTATATCTTTTATTAACATACACTGCATCATTAAATTTTATTCGAGTTAAAACCATTCATCACTTCGAATGTATATATATATTGATAACATTTAATATCAAAATAGATGGTCCATTAGATAGTATTTTAAATTTTGTTTACCTATTGTGTATGTATTGTAAGGTTAGGTCTATGAACTACGTATTTCATTATTTAATAGCACTAATTGTATTTTAGATTATAGGTGAATACATTATTGTGTTTAACTTGTATTTTTGTATCCGTGAGTATTGTTAGAATTATACAAATTATAGTATTGAAAAAAATACACAATATGATGTATGTAATGTTGGATTATAGTTATGAATATAATTGCCACTTAAAAATCTAATATCGGTTGCTAGGTATATGTAAAATATTGTACTTACTATTTTACAGTGAGTACGACGTATAGTATAAATGTATCATTATCTAAATAAATTATTAAAACTAGCTTTTGTTGTTTCTACTGTAATTTGTAACAGTCATAGATATTAAAGTAAAATTAATGCATTTTAGGTAGCTTATTACTAATAATAATTTACTACCAAAAATTAAAATGGTACATTTTATAGTAATAATTATCAAATTTAATAAAAAATATAACATCATAAAATAATTGTTATGTTTAAAACCATTTTCTATGCTTAAATACATTTGTTTTTACAGTTTGATGAGCCTACCGAAGACCTGCCAGAATTCGTTGCTGAGGAAGAAGCTGGCTTCAAAGGTTAGTTGTTCACATGCATTAGTTTTTTTTTTAAATTTAAAATCGAACCGTAACGGATCGTCCCTTAGAAAGATTCGTTTTAAACTGGATCATACTATAGTGTGACAGAACGATGATGGAATGTGAGAAAATATTTTGATGGTTTTAATACTCATTTGTACTGCATAATATATGTAAGGGGACTTTATATGAGCTATTATTGTTCGGATGTACTAGCTTCCTGTGTTTGTATTTCTTGACACGTTTTTTTTTGATTTCACACGCATTGTTATGTACGCATTGAGATTGAACTAAAACTTTTAATTAGTGATGTCTTTATCACCATTACTTACTTAACTAACACTTCATTTATAATTTTGAAACAATTTTTTTTCAAAAAATATAAAAAATAATATAAAATATTAACATATTATATTAATTGACTTGTATAGTATTTCTGTAAAATAATGTTTTCTCTTCATCAATTTCTTGACGCAGTACTAACTACCTCTTGCATACCAATGTTCGTCATGTATCTTCCGCGTCATAATGACTTTATACACATCTATTAAATGTTTCGTTTCTCTTGAATATAATTTAATATAATTTACATTCTAATAAGCAACAACCTCGCGTAATCGACTAAAATGAGAATTGTATTAAAATTAAAATAAATCACGTGGCAGTTTATTTGCTCTAGTAAAAAAAAAAAAATGAAACACTTACTTGGTCGGTAGACAAATAAATTCCTTTATAATTTTTATAAGTGCATGTGTTTGTGTTTGTATATACGTACATATATTATATAGTGCAATGGACAGTGGACACGCTCGTATTTTTGTGGAGAGCTATTGACATTGGATAGCAATAACGACAACGACGGCGTTATTATATTGCCTCGGGGTATTATATACAAAGCCACAATCGCGTTTCCACGTGATTATTTCCGTTTTGACTTTAATTCACTATAGACTTATTATTATTATGAGGAACAAGACCGCGGTGACCACCCGAATTCGAAAAATTGTAATCACGTAAAACAAGACGGCGGAAATCGTGATGCATAGACATACATATACTACGCGTACGTTGGTTTTATTATTGAAATACTTGCGGGGGACGAGAGGCGGTGACGGTGCCGCAATTACCGCAACGCATAATATCATCGTAATCATCATTATGTCGCGGCCGTGTCATTTCCGGTCGGTACACACACTCTCAACTACTGACGGCTTGCTTCTTCCCCTCATTCGGTGGTCTCGATACGCGAGGTAATAACGTCGAAAACTTTCCTGAGTCACGTCACTCAAACTTGCTTTAAAACGCACAACATTACAATATACCTATGTAAATACGAAAACTAGGCAATAACTAATAGTTCAAAATATTCAATTCAAGTTTTTTTTTATGTAAACTTTTAATTTGATTTTTTAAAAGATCAAATATGTTATTAATATTATTATTTTATATTTTATATGTTTTTCTTCAACTTACAATTAGTCATTATATTATTTTTTGATTATTTTTGCTCTTCTTCATTTAATTAATATAACCTAGTCGATCCAAGCCGATTGAGGTGTAGAATTGAATGTGCATTATGGAATTAAAAAAATTATAGAATCACATTAAATATGACTAGTATTAGGTGTAACTGCGAGATACGCTTGAGTAGAAAGCTTTAGTCTTAAAAATAAATTTGAAATTTATTTTATATGCCGTGTATATTTACTGTTAAAGATGACTAAACATTTTTGTTATAATATAACTTTTAATCAAATCGAATTTAGATTTAAAATTATCCATAACTAAAGTATTCTATACTAAAACATGTGTATAGGATCAATCAATGAACTACACGGAACAGCAAACATTCCTTTCGAAAAAATAATATAATATTTAAGTTTTATTAAGAATTTATTATATTATTTTAATTCCGACAGGATTTGAATCACGTTAAATTCATCTGTAAACAGTCATCTATGTATACTTTTTATAGCCGCCCAATTAGCGCCACTCGAATTCAGATCTCTCTGTATAGTATGTACGTATATCGCATAAAAGTAATATTTATTTTTTCTTCCGCTGCTTATACACACGCCCTGCAATCTCGACGTGTACAAAGCACTCGGGCTCTGTTGTACTCGTTTTTATCGTCAATTAAACGAAGAAACCCTGTACAATATTCACGATGTATCTTTATATATAATATTTATAATATGTGTTTAGCGACCGTAAATCTGCAACGATAATAATCATGATATTATTAATATGTGCGTTGCAGCGTGAGCATATTCGCACCACTATATTATTATATTATATACGTGCAATTCACGTGGGACCCGACGACGATACATGATGCACTTGGTCTTTTGTTATTATTATTATTTTTTTTTTTGTCCCTCTTTCTACTTCCCCTCCTTCGGTGCATTTTGTTTTCTCTCCGACATCGTTAACAATTTAATTCATTATTGTTATTGCCCTGACACGTGATGTATAGTAATAGGTATGATTGGTGTCGTATACCGCGAAAAACCACTGCGCCAAAGTCCCTTGTTCAGCCTATATGGATTATTTTCTCCTCAATCACTTGGCGACCCCCCCCCCCTTTCCCCTAGCGTTATTCTCTTAGCTAACGATCGTAAGCCAATTGCGGCCAATTGGTAGATAGCTGCCGCGTTAACGATACACCGCCACCATTAGAAACGGGTCTAAGGATTTTTTTCTTTTAAATTCTCATTAAAAATATCGAGTGCAATATTTTATTTCACAACTTATCTGGTGCGTACAAATACAATTGAAACGATAAACATTCTCATATATTTATCACTATTCTATGAATCTAACAAATACATCGAAATTGACTATTCATTCATTTAACTAACCCATTTAGTATATTCCTTCCTTGGTTTTAAAATATAATTAAACGCTAAAATTTCGTGTAATAATATAGTTAATTTTTTTTTCAGGTACCGAACTCATGAGTTGAAAAATCCGAATTGAAATTGTATAATAAAGAAATATATATATATTTAACATTAATTAAAGAAAAAATATGGGTAGATTATTTATTACTTTTATTTATATATATATATTTATACATATAACAATGTATGATGTATGTATATACCAATATTGTATTGAGTTTTTAAGTAGGTAACTATTATTAAATAGTTTCTTTTTCAAAACACTTATGTATATGTAATATTAGATTATGTTTTAGTATTTATTTCAAGCAAAATCGTTAATATAATTATATTTTTATATTATTTTTAAAAATGTGTTTATAGGCTTTTTTTAGACAGGGATATTTAAATTTATTTGTTTACATCGACATCATTTATATGTTTGTGCAAGTAAAGCGTGTGCTGTAAATATTAAAATATTGTCATCTCTCCATCGGTTAACGTCATTGTCGTGAAGCCAGGAGAGAATATCGTTCCAAGCTTTTGTTGTTATATCATTATCATTTATTAATTATTATTATCATTATCATATTATAGTATTGTACATAAATATTTTTTGATAGTAACAAGACACGGAAACGTTTTAATGAGATATTATAAGTGTTGCGTGTGTTATATGATAATGAATTACTTACTATTTTTGTAACTTGCTTTGATGTTAAATTTTCGCACATACAATATACTTTGTGTGTGGAAATAAAAATAATTATTATTAAAATAATAAAAAACAGGAACAAATGGATATACCAAAATAAAATAATTTGTTTTACTTTCGTAGGTTTTTACCGATGGCTGGATAGTGATGTTTGTGTGGTGTAGGCCTGCGGAGGTGGCTGAAAACTGCATGATGCTAATCGTAGGTATTAGCCAATAATATTGCTACATCCGTACCCTTATTGTTGCTTATAGTGTAATATAACGTAATCAGTCAAATTATAGCAGTGGGCGTAAACATAAATCCATTCATTATAATAATATTCGCGGCCCTATAAATTGTCGTCATACCCCGCGTCTATGAATGATTTATTGTGTTAGCTAAGTCGCTCGAAACTCCCTGAGTATAATTCGTCGTGATATTGTTGTTGTTGTTGTTGTTGTTGTTTATTATGCCGTTATGGTTGTGTCGATGGCTGAGTTTTCATCTTGGTTACTTGCTACTTGCATCCACTTCTGTTGAGACAGGAAGCGCGTGAAAACTTTGGATAGTAGTGTCGTCGACACTATTGTTTCTTATCTTTCTTCCTGATGATATTATAAGTGTACCGCGAACGAAACATATTATTTGTGAACATGAGTCATATGACATCATTTTTTTATAAAACTTGCCGAAAACACGAGAAAACAATCACCCTGCAATAAGTGCAATATAAATTCTAATAATACTATATTATGCTGTGTGTGGGTTCACCCACTGAGTTAGGTCATTTACGACTGTCGACCATGACACGTGTATATGACGTAAAGCAGTGGTTAATGCAGGGTGTGTTCGCTTGCCGTTTTAAGGTGTTAGGGGAGGAGGAAGAGGAGGAGGAGAGAGTCCGCTGGTAACGATCTGTATATGATGTACATCTTATCGTTTATTTTTTAAAGTCAAATTTTTGATTAAAAAAAAAAAAAAAAAAAAAAAAAAATGAATAAACGATTTTAATACGATTTTAATAGATTTAATGAGTTTGCGAATCGTGTATATATATATATAAGTTGTAGAAGTAATACTACGGTTAGTTTTCGGAATAAAATAATACAATTTTTTATTACAATGATTGGTGAATTATAATTTTTCAAAATGGTCATTACTAATTTTTTTATTTGTATATACTAAGATCAGTTATATTATTTACTTATTTATGTTTTAAATCGTCATGGTACATATTATACATATCAAGTTTATACTCACATAGCGGTAATTAGTAAGTTTTTTTTTAATTGCGAAATGCTCGATCGTGCAATTAATTTTGGAAACAAATTGCAATGTACTGCAGCAGATATCCTTTTTATAATTGCTTGAGTAAATAAATAAATAGATACTGAGAAGATATTAAATATTTGCATAACGGTCGATTATGTTTGTATTCATTTATCAGTGTTGTTTCATTTTTGGTTTTACTTCACTTTATATAAATCAACTTGTACAATAAGGAGAAATGGAATAATCGAAAAAGAGAATATATTGTTTGGTTAAGTGCACGTATTAATATTTTCCCTAATTGGGAAAATTTTATTTTTGCGATGTAGTAAATGATAAATTGTGTCACTTATCGATGATATAACTATTTTGTATTTTGCGCTATTTCTTAGTTTCTTACCTTCTTCAATGGTCATGTGCAAGACCGTTTGTAGTATTCAGGAAAAACAGTTGATAAGTCGTGTACCACCAACAAATATAATTTGTTCTTTATAAGGAGAACAGATTTAAATTGTAAAAGCGTATTTTTACGGGAATAAGATCTCTGAACATAACTGATAAATGTTGAGTTTTCGATTTAAATTATTAAATACTAACATAATATCAGTAAGGTGGTATAGTTTACAGTTGTAGGCACGTTGTCGTTCGCGCATATCAAAAAAAAAAAAAAAATCGTTGTCAATAAACGTTAATTATTGAAGGTATATTCTTTTTATATTGTGATTTCACGACTCGATTATAACGCAACAATAGTACGTTATAATATAGATTAAATATTTAATCTATGGTTATAATTTCTACTGTATCATGTGCCTACGCATATATTATTAAATGTTCTATAGATCACTCTATTGGTATCTGTATAATGTACGTCCGTATCGCCGAAATCCGTTGACAGGGAAGGTTAAGTATAAGTAGGTTGTTGTATAATATACGCACTATATATTATAATGTCGGTTATAAAATACTTTAATGTATTATATTATACACGTTTTATCCTATACGAAAACAATAGCCCCGTGCCATTTTCGCTGTACGCCGACGCACTCTTACCTTTTAGCCGTACAGGTAGATAGTCATAATACTGTTTGTGTATATTATTATGTAATTATTTAAAATGCGCGCGCGCACGGATTTTTTTTCTACTCAAAAACTGTTATTTTGATAATCGCTCTATAAATGTACGCCGGACGTTTTACGGGGACGTACCTATACCTACCGACGACCACCCAGGTGTGTGAGTGAGTTTTTTTCTGTTCTTTTGGATTTTTTTTTTATTTTGTTTTTAAAACGTCAAAATGTTAACGAATTTTGTCACCGGACGTCAGTTTCCGCCGCGAGGAGTAAAAAATGCCAATCTGCCTGCCTGCGTTTCCATATTTTTGGAGTATATCAACTCTCATGGCGTTTAAACATTTCGGTCGTAGTGAAATGCACAATATACGTCAGTGCCGGTCACCATTTAATATTTTTGGAATGTCATTTTAGGAATTCAAAAAGCTTTTAGAAGAGACCATTTCAACTATTTTGGTTATTTTTTTATTACCAAAACATTGGTAATAAAATTATCAGTTTGAGTTGAAAATATTAATGAAGTGTTATAATACTTATTAAATTAGATGTGTGAGCGGTACATATTATTGAAAGTTAGCTTAAGACTTTCTCAATGAGCGAAATTGAAAAAAAAAATTCAACTGTATTTGATTCGATTCATACGTGGAATATACCTATAAATATATCAAAAATTAACAAATGATGGATATTCTAAGACTTCTACTAAAAATATAAAATATGCTTAATGAGAATTTCTATTTCTTATCCTAGAAATTTGAAATTTCCATTGCTTATTACTATGAATGACAATGGTAATGGCTATTTAAATTATATAAGTCTGTGAAAATTATAAATATTTAAAATTAACAATTTACAATTAAATCTTCTAGATATACATTATATCATAATGTATTAGTTGTTTAATAAAACGTGCAATACACAGACCTAGGATTGTTGTTTACGAATAAAATTCAATCGAGTTCTACAACTTAAGCGAACTTGTTAAATTTTCTCAAACAAATTGTGCTCGTTCAGACAGCTGCTCATAATAAGGTACGTATAATTAAGTAATAATTACGTTAATTACATATTTTCGATACATGTAATATCACGTGTATAGGCATTTTATTATTATATACACGTCATGATATAAACGTACAGTAAAAAACCGCAAAGGTTTGCAAGAAACCGTTCAAGTCAAAAACAACAGTTGTATTATTATAATAATATTATACTCGCGCATCGTTCGTCGTCTCTCCCCTCGTATTATGCACACGCCACGTCGTCTTTTTCTTCGGTTCGCGCCCGACCACGCGGCGTTGGACGGTCGCCAATTCCGCTGGAAAGGGTTTATTTTTTTAATGGTCTATCCTCAACGAAAGTTTCGCGCTATATTTCATTTTTATACGGTTAACGCTCCGCTAATAATCGGATTATTATTTTAATTATTAATAATTTAATTTCCCGATAAGACATAAATCACTGTGCGCACCTATATAGTTTTCATTTTTTTTTTTTTTACTCCTCTCCCGCGCACGATATTATTTTTATACGACGATCAACCGCGGTCGGTGGACCGCGACGAACCGACGATCGACGACCGACGGTCACGGACGGCGCGGACGCGATGGAGTGGTGTCCCGGTGACAAGTGCGCGCATAAAGGTACTTCATCAAAACGAATTACTCGACAATTGTCGGCCGGGCCTGCCGTCGTCTTTGCGGACGATTTGGCGTAGGTGTGAGAGGTGTCTTTAATGTATATTTATCTATTATATGTATGAGTATTATACGCGTAAATCGATAGTTTGGCGGCAATCGACGACGATCGTGATGACATGTTTGATTCCGCGTACAAAGATCCACAACAATATAATAGGTATTGTCTGATGCGAAATTTCCGATTGGCGGTATGGTGGCGGTAGTCGCGCGTAAAAATCGTCCGACGAAAATTAAATAAAACCATTTATTGTTTTTGTATTCTTCGGCGGTACTACTTATTAAGTGTTTGAGGAGTTTTTTTTTACATTCGGTCGTTGTTTGATTCATTCATTTCGCCATTTCGGATATCCGCCGCTATGAAACGTTTAACGTAATTTAACTTTAATTTTCATCATTATCGT